ATAAATGCATTGTGTAACCAAAAAATAATCATTTGAATAATAATGATTTCAATAATGACCAAAATAATCGTGATAATGACTTTTTCCATAATCGGGCAGCCCTAGTCCTTGGTTACTTTGCAGTGACATCATGCTGGGGGTGTTCTACATGTATCTCTATAATGATGTATCTCTATAATGTTCATCAGTTAAGAGTGTTAAGGTTGATATTTGATTTTCAACAAAGTAGTGAGAGTGACTGAAAAACCGTTAGCTTGTGTCTGTAATTTTTGTGCGTAAAAGACTTGTTTAACATCACAAATCCTCTCAACTGTTGTCTTTCCAACTACGTCTGTTTTTTCTGTTCCGGTTGTGTTAAAATAAAGCACAGATTAAAGTCTTTACAGAGCTTGTGACTGAGCGGAGCCTGCAGTTAGTCGCGCCAGATCCCACGGGAATGTCAACGGCATCAGCTGCAAAGTATCGACAGATCTCGTAAGGGATTTGACGCCAGTTTATTACTTCAGAATATTCCATCGTTTGCTTCATTATAGCGCAGCCAACCGAGTAAACGACTGTAACGAAATGTGTTAAAACCGCAGCTTGTGGTTAATTCTGTAATAATTCTACGACATGAGATCAGTTCTGGTCTGCATATGTGCGCGATCGGTAAAATAATAGGCCATAAACATCCCCGACAACAGCCTGGCGTTATCATATGTTACAGTAAAGTAAGATACATAATGAAGTGGCCACATCCCCCTGTGTCCTTCAAAGTCTCTGAGCTCATTTTGTTTGGAGGATGCTCAGCTGTGAAAAGATTAATTTACACTTCAAAACAAGACCCGGTCTGCTAGGCATTCCTCTTCTCCCTGTCTATCCATCTGTCTCTTTCTCTCTCCCAATCGCGATCTATCTCCATCTGTCTTCAGTTTCTCTTTTCTCTATCCCCGTCTCTCTCCTTTCTCTTTTCTTCTCTTTTCCTCTCACAGTATGTCTCTCTCTCTCTCTCGCTACCTCCTCTTTCCCTTCCCTTCCTAATCTCTCTCTCTCTCCCTCTCTCTTTCATAGGTCTCAGTCTCTCTCCATCTCTCACTATCTTCTCTCTCAGTCTTCACAGTCTCTCTCTTACTTCTCTCTCTTCTCCTTTTCTCTCCCTCTTCCCCCTCTACAGTTTTTCTCTTGCTCTTTTTCTCTCCCAGTCTCTGTCTATCTCCATCTGTTTTTCTTTCCCTCAGTCTCTCTCTTCTCTATCCCCTTCTCTCTTCTTTCTCTTGCTTCCACTCTCTCTCTTTCTTCCTCTCTCCCTCTCATAATATATGTCTCTCCCTCTGTCTCTCTCTACCCCCTCTTTCTCTCAGCTTGTCTGTCTTTCCCTTTCCTTCCTAATCTCTCTCTCTCTCTCTCCCTCTCTCTTTCATAGGTCTTTCTCTCTCCCTCTTTCACCCAAATTTGTGTTTGCTCTCTCAGTCTCTCTCCATCTCTCATTGTCTCACTCTCTGTTTCTTCTCTGTCTCCACCCTTCTTTCTCAGTCTCTCTCTTCTCTCTTTTCTCTTCTGCCTCTTACCTCTCTCTCTACTGCTTCTCTTCCTCTCCATTTTTCTCCTCTCTCTCTCTCTTTTTTCTTTCTCTCTCCCAGTCTATATCTACCTCCATTTATCTCTCTTTCCCTCCAAACTCTTTTCTCTACCCCCTTTTCTCTAATTTCTCTTGCTCCCACCCTCTCCCTTTCGTCCGCTCTCCCTCTCATAATATATGTCTCTCTCTCTCTCTCTCTCTGTACTTCGTCTTTATCTCTTTGCTTGTCTCTTTCCCTTTCCTTCCCACTCTCTCTCTCCCTTTCTCTTTTATTGGGTTTTCTCTCACCATCTTTCCCAGTCTTCCTCCTCTCTCCTTCTCTCTCTCCCCCTCTTGCTGTCTTACTTTCTGTTTCTTCTCCGTCTCCACCCTTCTCTCTCAGTCTCTCTCGTCTTTCTGCCTCTTACCTCCCTCTCTTTTCCTTTTCTCTCCCTCTCCTCTCTCCTCCCTACAGCTGCCTCTCTGCGCCCCTTGCTGTTTCTCTCCTCTCTTCTCTCTCTCTTTGTCTTTTCTCTCTCCCAATCTCTATCTCCATCTGTCTCTCTTCTCTCTCCTTTCTCTTGCTCTCACTCTCTCCCTCCCTTCCTCTCTCCCTCTCGTAATGTATGTCTCTCTGTCTTTCTGCCTCCTCTTTCTCTCTCTGCTTGTCTCTTTCCCTTTCCTTCCTAATCTCTCTCTCTTTCTCTGTCTTTCATTGGGCTTTCTCTCTCCATCTTTCCCAGTCTTCCTCTTTCTCCCGATTGCTGTCTCTCCTTCTCTCTCTCCCCCTCTCTCTGTCTCACTCTCTGTTTCCTCTTCGTCTCCACCCTTCTCTCTCAGTCTCTCTCTACTCTGACTTTTCTCTCCCTCTCCTCTCTCTCCTCACTACAGCTGCCTCTCATCTCTCTCCTTCCATCTCTACTTTTCTCTCTCTCTCCTGCTCCTCACCCTCTCCATTTTTTCCTCTCTTCTCTCTTTCTTTTCACTTTCTCTATCAATCTCCCTCTCTTCCCACACTCAATCTGCATCTCTCCCTCGCCTAATCTCTTTCTTAACCCCTATCTCTCCTCCTTGTCTCTCTATCTCTTTCTCTCTTCTCCTTCTCTATGTCTCTCTTTCCCATTTCCTCCTCATTTGTGTGAGGGATTATCTGTCTTCGTTACAAGGCCCATCGTGTTTAGCCTAATGCTGCTGTCACTTCGGAGTAAAGACGTTACAATGACAGATATTTGACTTTGTGAGAATGAAACTTTGTGTGGTTGTCACGATTATCCACCTGAATGAGTTTACGAGCTCAAATCATAATTCACTTTCGCTTTGTACAGCAGCGATAATTAAATCATAATCATTTAGAGGGCAGTCGCCGTAGTTCATTTTGCTGCCGTCCATAGGTATTCTTCATTTTCCTAACGTAGTTTAAGTGTAAACCTAAACAACTAAAACAACTCGGACAATAAAAAGTGTTATAATTTATGTTATTAGGTTTGTTTGTTTTTTCAGACCAGGGATCTTCAATGTTTTTCAGGCCAGGGACTCCAAAACTGATAGAGAGCTGGAGCAGGGACCCCCTACTCTGAGAACTCTTAGAAGGCCAGATCAATGGAGCAGCGACATCACGGAAAATGGGCTCAAAGTGTGATTTTTTTAAAAGATCTGACTGAACAAGAGGGGAGCCACCGTGGGCACTCTCCTGGTCGCTCTCTCGTCTCTCCTGGTCGCTCTGTGGATAGAGAGGAGCCTGGGTGCGGAGTACGGAGCCTGGTTAATGTGCCCGGGGAATAAAGTTGCCTCACCTCTTCCCGATGCTCGGTAGTATGTGCGGAGCTCAAGTTCCGCTGTGTGTAAAAGTGAAGCTGTAACGGACCTCTTCACATGTAGCCTAACAAGAAACGATAAAACCTCACCAAGGTGTTTGCAGTTTGACAAGGAGCGAGACGAGGGAATGAAAAGAGAGACAGACAGACGTGAAAAGGAGCACACAGCCAGACCCCACTGAAAACTAGTTCATCCTCATCCTTCAAAAATGAAATATTAAAAAAAAAAACAAAAAAAAAAACATCTAATCAACCAAAGATTTAGATTTCACGACCCCCCTCCAGTACTTCCGCAACTCCCTGATAAGACCTCTGTTTCAGACCAAGAGTTTTCATACCTGACAGTTTGGACTGCTCACTAGCGGTCTTCCTCAGAGTGCTCACGTGATGTTGCTGTGACTTGTCTGGCCAGCTGATTTAAACAGGTTTTGACGCTGTTTTCCTATCAGTAGAGGCAGGATGACAGCAACATCTGCAGTCCCACTTCCTCAGGACAGTATTCCAAGTGTGTGAGAGTAAAAAAGCTAATTGTCCCGGTATATAGTCCCGTGGGCACATTTCTGTATTTCGATTGCCTCTTTAATCCAGCGACGATGTTTGTTTTCCTCTGCCCCAATCATGTTTGCTCCGTCCCAGTCCATAATGTGGTTTTCTCTCTGAGGAAGAGCACTAGTGACCAGTCAAACTGTCAGACATGAAAACAAACTCTTGGTCTAAAACAAGTGGGGTCTCCCCGGAGGAGCTGGAGGACGTGTCTGGGGTGAAGGAAGTCTGGGAGTCCCTGCTTAGACTGCTACCCCCGCGACCCGGCCCCGGATAAGCGGAAGAAAAAGGATGGATGGATGGATGGTCTAAAACAAGAACCTAATAACATAAATTATCAGAAGAGCAAATGAACCTCATTGGACTAGTGTTATACTTTGACAGCTTACATCTGTATGCCTGTCATCATAATTACTATATACATTTTTTTCTTTGTACTAGTAATAAGTTCTTTTGCTATTTTTTGTACCTGATAAGATTTGAGCTGCAGAGCATTGAATAAATAACTTCTATGATTCATTATAGACACAAATTAAATGCTGCTTTTACAAATGTAGCTCAATTACATAAAAAAATGGGGTATAGCCACTTTAATTACTGCTTTGTCTTAAAGCAAACCTATTATGGAATGTTTTTCAACCATATGATAGTTGTTGTCCTTCTCATTTACCTTTTCAGAGTTGTATTTGCAGTGATTTGTGCATGTGTGAGTAATCTTTAATCACTTTTCAGGTATAAGGCAAACAGCTCTGTACTTACACCATTCTCCAATTTTATTTCCACAACCCCGATACACATAGGATTTGGCAGCATTCTGTCATTTTGGAACAAATGAAATAAAAAAATCCACTGCTTTCTATAATATCTGACTTTTTGTTGTGATGATGTTTACAGCGACGTCAGCTCCTATTGGGCACCACCGTTTTGTAACACGGATCAGCAAAATTTTATTATCTCGTTTTAGAAGAATATTGCGAGTTTGTGTCATTGACTATTAGTATATAACAGACACAGGCCCAATATATCTTCTATAACAATAACCCCATTCCTTTTGTACTATTCTAATGGCTTTGTTTGTTGTTTTGTGTCTGTTGCTGCTGTCTCAGAGCCGCACCTGCCTCATGTGCTGCTGGAGAGCGGAGACATGACCCAGGAGGAGTACGACGAGTTCCTGCACGGACGCAATGACTTCATCAAAGCCACCAAGAAGGACTCCAGCAACGAGAGGAAAGTGAGTGACAACGCCCCCTGTCAGACCTGCGCCTGTCTGCACCTGTTGGCTATATTTGTGTCAGAGTGCTCCTGTCTGCCATCCCTGTGTCAAACTGGCACCACACTGTCCCTGCTGTTGGCCATCTCTGTGTCAAACCTGCACATGTCTGCCTTTCTCAGCTCAAACCTGCACCTGTCTGCACCTGCACCTGTCTGCACCTGCGCCTGTCTGCACCTGTTGGGCATCTTTGTGTCGAAAGTACAGCTGTCCGCTATCTCTCCATCAAACTGCAGCCGTTTCAAACCTGCACGTATCAAACCTGCTCTTGTCTGCTTTCTCTGTGCTAAACCTGCACCTGTCAGCACCTGTCTGCCATCTCTGTGTCAAACCTGCACCTGTCTGCACCTGTCTGCCATCTCTGTAACCTGTACCTGTCAAAGCTAAGACTGTATACAACTGTAAAATAGACATAAACAAAGACGAGAGAGGAGAGATGAACTGCAGAACAAAATATCTATAAATATCTAAACATGATTTAAAGGTACACTATGTAACTTTTCTAATGGAAGCTGCCCCTTGCTTGTCTCCATGGAGATGTTATTGCTTTGCCGAGAATATAGACAAGCAGGTTGAACCAACAGGCCGAGTTACAGGTCAAACGTGGAGAGACAAACCCATTCACTGTAAGATGTTTATTTTTTTCATTCTAGCTGCACGAGTTTAAAAATACCGAAATAACTGGAATCGATTGTGTTCATATTGATGGAAATTTCAGATGGAGGGCAAGAACCTATGCACAAATAGTGAAGCTGCCTGGTGATTCGTGGACAGGCAAAGGTTGCAGGGTTTAATTGTCTGACAGCTGCAGACAGGCGAAATACAGTAGAAGGGAGCCAGCCTAGTTGCACTCATTCTTCATAACAAAATTATACTTGCACTTCTACTTTTTGGATCTGATTTGTTTGTATGTTTGTCATACAGCTTGATTTTGATACTAAAGTAAACGTGATATTACGATATTTACGTTATAAGTACGATATTTATTGCAATATTGTGGGAAAGCTCACGATATGGTGGGGAGGCTCAAGATTAGAGAGATAACAATATCCAAATCTCTCTGTATGATATTTTCACGATATACATCTCATGGTACGATATTTATTGTGATATTTTGTGGAGGTTAACAAAATTGAATATGCTACTTTTTCCTCTTAAAATGCCTTAACAAGACTTAATCCACAGAACTAAAACTTAAAAGTGCTTAGAACTGTTATTTCTTCTTGTAGTCAACACTGAAATGGAGCAAAGGATCATGGTCTATGTAGTTCCCTCTGTGTTTTTTTTTTAACTATTGCTGCACCGTAACTCGTAATTTAAGCAAAGACACTTGTGATTCGATATATTGTGATGGTCCACGATATTACTGTGAGAATGATGATTTGATGAGAATGTGACTTTGATGATTTGTTTATGCAAATTAGCCATGCGCTTTTAAGTTTCGTTTCTGTTCAACGTAAACACGTGCATAAAGCTGCATTAAACACATTATAATCTTAAACAGGCTGACGTGGCTCTATAGTCGTTATGCTTTATATATTGTAAAGTTTAGTAAGGTAAAGTTTAAGAACTGCCTACCTCTTGCACTTCAATAAAAAAAGGCCTTGTGGAATTTGGCATATTTGTTTTTGCAGGAGTTTTGGGGGGTTATTTTTCCTGTACAGATATTGAGATATAGTAAAATATATTCTCCATATATGCTCCATATCGCCCAGCCCTAGTTCTACGTGTATTTCTGTTGAATGTTTAACAGTTACCATGGTGACACAAGATCAAACACAGACCTAAAAGTTTTTAGATTGTCTGAAAACTTAAGAAAAAACACATTTTAGGACACTGTAATCAATATGAGCTTTGATGGTCATGGTTTGATTTTCAATAAAAAGGTGAGAGACAAACTGAAGAACTGTAGGCCAATGCTGTAGCTTGTAATTGTAATTTTATCTGTGGGAGACTTGTTTAAAGGGCCCATCTCATGCAAAATAACTCTTTTCACATTGTATCTTCTGCACATAAACAAGCACTATTTGAGTTTTGGAACATCCATTACACAATAGTGATGAAATCTTACTGATTTCTTGGAGGCGTCACAGACCAGGAACTATGAAAGGCCGACTATTGCTCCTCCCCCCGCCCGTCCTGAGAAAGCACAGGCTCCGCCCTCCAAACGTGACGTAGGCTCTGAGTGAGCCGCCCTTCCTCCGCCCATCTCAGGGAGGGAGGGGGAGACAGACGTGCACCCTGATAGTGGTAGGAATAAACTTTTATTCATCATGGAGATACAGCGCGTTCAGCCGCATGTGTTGGACCCAGAATCAGACGAGGAGTTTGAGGAGCACGAAGCTCAAGCACCGCGTCCACATCATCTGAACATTACTGATTGGTAAAGTATTAATAAACACTAGTAGATAAACTTATTATATCATGTACACTGCAGTCTAGAACAATGAGCTTATGCTGTCGCTTTTGTTTAGGTGTTCATGTGGGAATTGTCAGCCGATGCGAGGTGGAGGCGGGGCGGTCAGACACGTCATAGGTGTAGCTGCTGCATCATCGTTGTAGCAGCTTTAGTTCGTTGTCACGTGGGAGGGTGGCAGAAATACACTGCAGTTTGTTAAAAAAAAACGCTGAATCAATCTAAAAAACACTTGGGCGACATATACAAGGCCCACACATCACTCTTAGAATGTAGAAAGCTCTGAAAAGTTCATTTTGCATGAGATGGACCCTTTAAGAGCACAAATCAGCTCACCTGTTGTAGTTCCAATTAAGCCAGCTCTTTCTGTTTCACATTAAGTCTAATTTAAGTAACAAAGCTTTTAATAGAGTAGTGCTTTCAGTTAGCTCGACGATCCAGGGAATGTTGATGATGTCAGCTACAAATTGGCAATTAGTCTATGAATCTCCTCTCCCCTTTCCCCTTTTATACATTTTTTTTTACGACCTAAACCTTCTGTAATATATTTTACCGTTTGCCTCTGATTTCGCCAAGCTCCTAATCGATCTGCTCTTGTCTCACTTATTCGCGGGCACTGGCTGTTGTTGTGATTACTGACCGCTGACCCGACAGTGGAAACAGAGCTCTTACCCATAAAATCTGTTCCTATGGCAACACTCCACTGGCTCTGCGTCTGACTGAAGTCCTTTGACATTCAACCAGGAGAGGCACAGACAAATGAGTGAGATCCAACTAACAGTGGAATGAATGAATAGAGAGCAGCACATAGACCCAGGTTTGCAGTTTCCTAGGGGAACAGGGAAACCAATAAAGTCCATACTACTTCTACTACCTTAACCTGTTTTTAAATGCACCTGGGGCATGGTGTCATAATCAGGGAGCTCCAGAACTTGAGCAGGGCTTGGTCAGGACTACCTTAGCTGGAGGATTACTGTATGTTTTAGGCCAAGGGGTGTCAAACTCATTTTCACCAACAGCCACATTTGGATCATGTTTGTTCTTCAAAGGGCCGGTCGTAAAGTTAAGACTGCAACTGTTACAAAAAAAGTAAAAGTCTGTATTTGATTTTTCATTTCATATTTATTCATTTTGTTTATTTTTATGTTTTTTACATTTTTATTATTTTCTGGTATTCTTGCTCTTATTTGATTTTACTAATTTTATTGTCTTAATGAGGACTAGTAGAGTTAAGTAGAGCTTTACTTTATATTTCTTCTGGATATGTTTTATCTGTACTGTGCAGCACTTGGAAAACTGTTTTGTTTATGAAATGTGCTATAGAAATAAAGTGGATTGGATTTGATTTAAAGGTTCAAGTTAAAACATTCACATTACTCCCTCAGTAACGTTCATGAAATAGCCGTCCTTCTTCATCAGTTTTTCTTTTCTTGGACATTTTTGAGGAAATTTGATGAGTTTTCTTGGCCTCTCTAGTGGCGAGATGCAGTCACTTCACGAGAAACAACTGCAGTGCATTGTGGGAGATGTAGTAGTGGCACAGATTCACAACATAATAATAAATTATACCTTTTAACCCCTTGTGCCTTGGCCTTGCCACCTGTGTTTTAGGCCATAGACTTTATATACAAATGGACAGGGCTAACACTCTAGCCGCCGTGTTCTGAATATGAGGTGAGCATGGGCGCGAAGTGATTCCTACGAGCTCTGATTGTAATTCACTTTCCATTGAAAAGTGTCCCTTCTCTCTGTAACTTCTGATGTGAGCCTTGTAACTTTGGGCTGAAAATGTTCGTATTAAACTGCTCATGATCCGCCAGAGTAGCCGCGGGGTCTTAAAAGTCTTAAAAAGGTCTTAAATTTCATGTTCCTAAATTAAGGCCTTAAAAAGTCTTAAATTATGTTGTCCAAGTCTTATTTTTTTCACAAAGGTCTTAAATTTTACTAGCCTATTTTTTTGTATACTCATCCAAGCTGCAGTGCAACGTTAAAAGGAGGGAGAAAAAAAACAACAATGTGAAATCACGCAGCGTGAATGAACGTCTAATTTGGAGTCTATACAAACAATTCTTTTGTTTCAGGCGCTGACGGCAATGAGTAAACATCAGTACAGTGGAGGAAGACGTTGGATGGGTCATGGGGAAGTGTAGGATTAATCCACAGTGGCTCTTAAATTCTAGATACAGTACCGGTAGTTGGTTGGTCATTATTAGAATTGGATCTGGTGTGATGTTGGTCTTAATTTTCATTTAAGTGGTCTTAAAAAAGGTCTTGAAAAAGTCTTAAATTTAGGGTAGTCAAACCTGCACATACTCTGTACGCTTTTCAGTCCTTAAATCAATATCTCATGAGTGACTCTTTGGTTTCACGCTCTGATTTGCAAATACGGGCCCAAGCAAATTGCAGAGTAGGTGCTTTAACCGCTAGCCTCGATGAGCTTCATTTGGTTGCAGTCGAATGCTATGAGAGACGCCACACTCCCTCAGTCCACTTCTGTCACACAGTATCATATGTGTTATGCTTAGGGTGACCAGATTTTTAAAGCCTGAAACTGGAACACCACCGGGTTGGTCGTGGTTGGTAATAATAAAATTGTGAAACGAGTGCGTACCATAATTAAAGAAAATTGTTATGCACTTGGCCCATTCATGACTTATTCACAATAACATGAGTCAGTATAGTCATATTTTCTCTGTAATTTTACCTAAACAAAAACCTAAAAAAACAAAAAAAAAAAAACAATTTATGTCTATATTATTGCTGGGTATCATTAAGAAGTTGTCGATACGATACATACCTCCGATACATAAGCCAGAATACAATACATATCTCAATACAGTACACTTTCGGTTTGATACAACATATTTCAAATGGATTCGATACAGTTCAATAAAAAATAATGGTTGTGATACTAAAAGTCTTTGTTAAACCATTTTTTGTGCAAAGTTAATATGAAACGGACCAATTTCAATCCTCAAAACAGTGAAAATGTCAAATGTGTTGCCTAAATGAGTTTCCTTCCTCTAAACAAAGAACAAACTGTTGCGCTGTAACAAAATAATTTAGTAAAATATACCAAAAAGTACTTTTGGCGATATATCGATACAGCAGCCTCTGATATCGATACTGGATTATCACATTAAACAATACGCTATATCGATATTTCAATATTTTTGCACACCCCTATTTATTTATTTTTCCAATTTATTTATTTATTTATTTAACTCATAAAGCATAAAAAGACATTGTCACAACATCAGACACACAAGAAATGAATGAAAAGGAGCAGAAAGAAGAAAAAATCTTATGTTATTTGCCCCCCTTTCCTTTTTCAAGACAAAACATTAACACCGATCGTCACGAAACATTCTATATCAGTTCAGGCACAATTACTGATCAATTGCAAACAGTAATCTTCACTATTATACACAACAACTTAGTTTTCTTTTTCATACATACACACTGCATTCGATTTTTTATGTTTTTTAAATGTCATCATTGTACTTGATTCTTTTATTTCTTTGTCAAGACTATTCCATAAGTATTCCATAATTCCCTTCTCTCATTACTGTTGGCACATATCAAATTGGTCAAAAATTGGGACACCTGGGACATTTTTTGTACAAAACTGGGGCACATCAGTGATAAATCTGCTGGGACAGGGGACAGAGGGCTCAAAACTGGGACTGTCCCGGGTAAAAAGGAACGCTGTTACGCTGATGGGGGAAACCAGAGTGCCACAAAGACATGGGAAAAACATGGCAGCTTCAAAAAGAAAGGCTTTATTCCAGCTGGGAATCAAACCCAGGATGTTCTGACTAGGGATGAGCATGATTAGTCGACTAATCGACAATTGATCATTAACAATTTCATCGATTATGTTCATTTCTAATCGACAAACCGAATATGGGTTTCTGTGCGTAGAGACGAGGCCTCGTCTGACAGTGCAAACACTGGAGTTGCGGCCTCAGTCCCACATTTGGAGATCACTGTACCACTCAGTGAAAGCGTGTTTATGCAGTGTGGATGGGCATTTGATGAAATTTTCTTAATCGATCGTCGGAAGAATTAACGATCGATTATCGATTAATCATTAACGTTTTATATTAAAATGATCATCATCATTATTACCATCTGCACTACTAATCTGCATAAATAAATTCAACTTTACGACATATAAACATAACGACTCTAGAGCCACATCAGCCCATTTGACATTATAATGTGTTTAATTCAGTTTTGCGCAGCTCTCACAGAAACGAAACTTAAAACCGCATTGCTAATTTGCATAAACTAAGCAAAGTTAAAACTACAGCTCTTGTGTCGCTGATGCGGTCAATTTCTGTTGGATTAAAAGACATGACTCAGTGGAATACAGGTGAGTGTGTCCATATTTGCGTTTGTCAAAACCAGGACACCGTACGGGGGGAGGGAGGTGGGGACTCGTCATCGACATTGCGCGACTCTCACCTGGCAAAACTTTTTCCCACTGGACACCGAAACATATGTGCTGCTTTGTACACTGTGCACATGGACTCTTGTCCCGAACGCAACGGAAAGCGTGGAATTTCTTGTACAAGTCATCGTTGCACTTCAGTACGTTGCAGGCTGCTTACTCCTTCTGAGTGCAGAGAGCAACATGTATGGACCCCTGTTTGGTCACGCTACACACAGCAACCTACATTCGGTTTGTCGATTAAAATGAACGTACTCGATGAAATTCTTAATGATCAATTATCGATTAATTGACTAATCATGCCCATCCCTATTATGCAGTATCCCGGTTACTGCAACATAAAGAGCTGCGCTAAACCTGCACACGTACGATCTTTGAAAACACACAGAACAGACTCACCTTCAGCATCAACATCCCTCTGTCACAGAAAGGTCACCTATATTCCACTGAGTTTTGCATCCTTTAGTCTGACAGAAGCTGAACCTCATCAGCGCACAATAGTGTTTTTTTTTTTCTCCGCTTAGTTTATGCAAATGAGCCATGGGGTTTTAAGTTTTATTTCTGTGAGAGTTGCGCAAAGCTGCATTAAACACATTATAATGTCAAACGGGCTGATGTGGCTCTAGTGGTGATGGTTTATATTAGGGATGGGCATGATTAGTCGATTAATCGATAATTGATCATTAAGAATTTCATCGATTACATTAATTTTAATCGACAAACCGAATGTAGGCTGCTGTGCGTAGTGTAGTGTGACCAAACAGGTCTGTACATGTGTCTCTCTGCACTCAGAAGGAGCGGGACACAAACAGTCGGTCAGTCTGCAACGTACCGAAGCACAAATGTGTATTTAACGATGACTTGTACAAGAAATTCCCCGCTTTCCGTTGCGTTCAGGACAAGTGTGAGTCCATGTGCACAGTGTACAAAGCAGCACATATGTTTCGGTGTCCAGTGGGAAAAAGTTTTACCAGGTGAGAGTCAAGTGTCGATGACAAGTTCCCCCCTTCCCCCACCCGTACGGTGTCCTGGTTTTTTACGAACGCAAATCTGGTCACACTAACCTGTATTCCACTGAGTCATGTCCTTTAATCTGACAGAAGTTGAACCGCATCAGCAACACGAGCAGTTTTTTATCTTCGCTTAATTTATGCAAATTAGCGATGCGGTTTTAAGTTTCGCTTCTGTGAGACTTGGGCAAAACTGAATTAAACACATTATAATCTCAAACGGGCTGATGTGGCTCTAGAGTGGTTACGGTTTATATGTCGTAAAGTTGAATTTATTTATGCAGATTAGTAGAGCAGATAGTAATAATAACGATGATCATTTTAAGATAAAAATGTTTATGATTGATCGATAATCGATCGTTAATTCTTCTGACGATCGATTAAGAAAATTTTGAGTTTATTTATGCAGATTAGTAATAGTAATAATAATGATGATACTTACTATATAAAAACATTAATGATTAATCGATCGTTAATTCTCCCGACGATCGATTAATTAAATTTAATCGAATGCCCATCCCTAGTTCTGACTGTAATGCAAGTCTGCCACTCCGCCACTGTGCCATTAGCCTTAAATTAGCCCAATGATATTGTAAATTTAGAGTAGTTCTCTGGGATAATTCTGCTGTAACCTCATTGCGTTAGTGGCATAATTTTGTTTCAGTATATTCGTTTATGGCCTATATTTTCTTCATCATTATACTGTACTTCAAAAAGTGACAGGAACAGCAACAAGGGATTTACATTCTTCTCGGTTGGGTTTGCAGTGATCAGTGCCCAGTGTTCACAAATGGTCTTGTTTTTGTGTCTGAAAGCTTTTACATAATTAATTTTCCTCCCGCGTGCTTCCTCTCAGATCTAATTATGAAACATTATCTGTCTGTTCATAGGTGGAGGTCATTCGCAAACGTCTCCACAAAGACATTCTGCATAATCCGGTGGTGATGCTGAACTTCTGTCCCGACCTGAAGTCCGTCTGCGCCGACCTGAGAAAAGTCCACGGAGAGTTCGTCTTCCTCATCGACCGCAGCGGCAGCATGAGCGGAGTCAACATCAACAGAGTCAAGGTATTTTAAAGGTCCTATAATTACCCTAAATTGATTCTTGTGAGCTTTAACCGATGTTAGAATGTTGTTACCTCATCAAAAACTGACCTGGAGTTGTGTTTTATTTCATTTCCAGTGCTCAAAATGGCAGTTTTCATGTTAACAGCTACATTTTACTTTTTTTCAGTAGAGACTGGCAATTCCAGGGTTGAAATTATCCAAAATTATTGTAGAGTATGGAGTTTTAAACCACAGTTATTAACTAGGGTTGTTCCGATATTGCTACAGGTATCAGCAAATACTCAGACCAAATCACTGATACGAAGCCACTCTGTCTTTTCCTGAATGACAAGCCATAGATGCAAGGAGATGTGAGGAGGCGCTGTTGACGTCAGTGGCTAATGCTGCCTCTAACACTCAAAGCAGGTTAAATATAGACTGTGGAGGTTCTGTGGACGCTTAAAACACACAATAACATGCAATAACAACAGAAAAGACAGTCTCAATTTATGTTATTATGTTCTTTTTTCAGGCCAAGCATGTGTTTTCACACCTGACAGTTTGGACTGTAAAAAGTGAAAAGTGAAAAAGGGCAGAGGGCAATAAGAAAACACAATATCAATAGAACCGGAGCATAAATTTAATGTCATATACGAAATACCCTGCATGTCCTGCAATAAAACATACATTGGGGAAACAGGGAGGGCGTTCACTACACGAAAAAAGGAATATAGGGCAGAATGCGAGAAGGAAACAGTGAAGGAGAAACACGAGCAACACAACACAAAGCAGAACAGGAACAACTCAAAAGGGGCATCTCTGACCACTGTGAAAGAGAGAATTAAACTTAATTAACTCTGAATATTCTTCTTAAAAATAATCCATAATCCAGACCAGGGGTGCTCAATACGTCGATCGCGATCTACCAGTCGATTGCGATCTACCGGTCGATTGCCAAGGTCGTGTGGGTAGATCGCCGTGTCTCGTTTCGGACTCACGTTTGGACTCGGTCTTGTCTCTCACTCAAGGTCTGACACTCAACAAGTGTGATCATATTTCATTACGGCCGCTGCTGTTGGCAATAAACTTGTAGCGGGTGCAGGAGCATGTGGGGCGTCTCAGTGCAGCCTGTGCGCTCATTTGAAACCCGCGGAGACTCTACGATACATCACAAACACACACGCTCCCTATGCACGACTCGTCTGCAACAGCGTGTGCCCTCGTGTACCAGCGTGCATCACAGGGCAGGTTAAACTTCCTAAACATCCTACCTGTCCATCTGCCTCACGTCAGCACGCCGCCCCTCGCCTTTTCACGCTCTCGCTCCTTCCTGCGTACAGCCAACACAAGCCCCTCCCACAGTGCGCTGATTAGAAGAGCAAGACCAAACGTGAAGCAAAAACCAGTCTAAATTTGTGTTCCAGTGTTGGCACAAAGCAGGTCTACAGCATAGAGCGGATCTACAGAACAGACCTACTGCCACATTTGGCTGAAGTTTGTCTAACACAAATGCATCTGTGTTTGTCACGATGTGCGTTTGGTTTGGTAAATGTGCAGAGGCTGGTAAATATCACTGCAAAACCAGAAAAGAATGAAACTCCAGTTTGGAACCTAAAAAAACAGGTTTAAAAATCTTCCTTCACTTTTTTCACAGTTTTGTGTAAAGTGCCAGAGGAAGTTCTCTTAAAGAAGAGGTTCTCAAACTGTGGGTGAGGGTCCAGAAAAGGGGCACAGAGTGTTTCAGTGCAGTTTGCTTGGCTTTGTATTAGGTAGATCATTATGACTTGGTCATTTTGTAAGTGGCTCTCATGCTGAAAAAGTGTGAGCACCCCTGATCCAGACGATCGGGCTCCACCAGTCCTGGCTTTGGACTTTCATCCACGTCTTTTTGGATTTTTGAGCGGGATGTGGGAGTGGGCTGAGGTAGAGCAGCCATTGACTCAGTTTGTCTTCTTCCTCCTTCTCCGACACTCTTCCCTTCTCCTCCAGAGCTGACAGATGTAAAGCGTGATGAGAGAATTCTCCAGCTACTGCGCAATTATCATCAGAGCAACTGAGAAAAAAGTTTGGATCATGTTTGTGTCCGGGGTGTAACGACGAACCGAGATGACAGAAAAGCCGGTAGTAGCTGAAGTGTGTGTTTTCTTCCGGTCGACGTAAATACATTTGTGCGCCCCCTGTCCAAGCAGAAGCCTTCCCCACCCCCAGACATTAAGCAGAATTAAATAAAGGCGATTTAATGTGTTTTTCATGTAAACCTCAATTTGGAATTATGTCCATGTAAACTCAAAGGAGAATATTTTAATTCAGAGCTATATAATTCAGAACAATTCATTTGGAATTAAAAAACTTCACACCCCCCCTGTGAAGAAGAAAATATTGTGCACCCCCCCACTCCACAGAACCACTACCAAACAAATCACACCCTCACCTTCAGTCGCCTACATATGAGAGCAAGTGTTTTAATCGTGTTTCCAAAGCCACTCCAGGGGACACACAGAGCATATGTCCGTCCATATTCTGTGCTGCGCTCACCTGCGTCATGAGGCAGTCCGCTCCTGTGCATTGTTTTTAAAGATAATGTCTGTGTTATAGATGGGGCCACTTGCGTCATCCAGCGTGACAGAAACCATGTCTAATGCTGCAGCAGTATCAGCTCCTCTGCTGTTTGGTACTTTACCTTATATGATGCTAACAGAGCTCGCTGGTTTACTGAAGCAGCATTCACAAAGCGGGATGATTGTTAGCAATATTTGGCACGTTTTTGCTGAAAAAATTCCGCTGCCAACATTTTTAGACACAGTAAACACAGCAGTCTTTCCTTGTTTCCCACCGTAGTCACAATGAAGCCGAGCGCTACATACACTTTACATACAGTTTGTTCTCTGCACTTCCTATCTCCTGCTCTGTGTTGTGTGTGTGTTTGCTTGGTGTAAAAAACAAAACAAAAACGACACTATAGTAATAGATGCATCAAGAATTTCGTACTTCCGGTCATGGCGCTCTGCATACAGGGAAGGATTTTCCTAAAAAGTGAGCATCAAACCGCCATGTTTGTTTTCCCAGTGGGATGCATCTTTTGACAAAGCCGATCTTTTCAAGTCTTTTGAACCGTATCGCTTTTGTTTCTGGTTCTGATATTGTCATAGTTTAGTTTTGGGATTCAGACATCGTAATTGTGTGGTTGTTGGATCCTAACAGTGGAAAACGGCTTGAGAAATTTGTTTGTGAACACCATAACTGCAAAAGGGAATCAGATCTGTGTGACTGCAAACCTCTGTTCAAACTTTTTCCCTTCATAACGGAATTTAAAAAATAGTGAAAGGTGAAGGTGATGGGCAGTATTGATCCACAGGAAGAACCAAAAAGGAAACCTCTGACTGCCTAAATCATCTCGAGTTTCTAGCTAACTTTTTGTATATGGAGCGACAAGAAAGCAAAATCCCGATCACTCGCTTCACCTTGGTTATGAATTTAAAAAGTCAACGCCAAAGCGAAAGGCTACACCTGTTCGCCAAGAAACACCTTCCACTGCAAAGAGACCAAGACCTGATGTTGCTGTAAAACCAGAAGAACAAGAAAGTGCGAGTTCAGTCTGTTTGTCTTCTGTACCTCTCACTTAACAAACGGGATTTTACTTTGATGGTGCTCCACATACAAAATGTTTGCTGCAAACTTGGGATGATTTCTTAGGCAGTCAAAGGTTTCCTTTTTAGTCCTTCCTGTGTATCAATCCTGCCCATCGCCTTCACCTTTCACTATTTTTCAATTCCGTTGGGAAGGGAAACAGTTTGAACACACACATCTGATTCCCTTTTGCATTTATGGAGTTCGCAAAAAAATTCTTGCGCCGTTTTCCACTGTTAGAACATCCAACAACCACGCAATTACGATGTCTGAATCCCAAAACTAAAATATGACAATATCAGAACCAGAAACAAAAGTGATATGGTTCAAAAAACTTGAAAAGACTGGCTTTGTCAATAGACACATCTCACTGGGAAAACAAACATGGTGGTTTGATGCTCACTTTTTCAGAAAATCCTTCCCAGCATGCATTGCGCGATGACCGGAAGTCCGAAATTCTTGATGCATCTATCCTCCCTGTGCACCCTCTGACATTGAGAGCGTCACTGCCAACTATTGTAGTGGATGTGTAATTACACTTTATTCCGCCCCGGCATTGCACTGCCCCATCATTAGGACTGCTCTAACTAGTCATATGTCCCTCTCAAATATGGCCAATTTTGTCTTTTTGCACATAAAATGCCTTGTTTTTATATGAAAAAGGAATACATTTTTATATTTTTAAATGAGAATCTTTGTTTCCCATTCACCTGCAGTGTTCCACCTTAAAGACCCCCTGCCTGTATTCAAAGCTGTCTTGTATTTGTTCCTTTGCTGCTGCGGTCACTGAATATTATTGACTATTGGAGCAACAGCAGCCTCACAAAGACGCCCATTCACTGCTCGACCTCCCGTAGTCGTTGCTAGGCTTTAGCTCGCCCATACACAGGCGGGTAAGTAGTGTAACAGAGCACATCAAGGATCCTCCACTCAAGCAGCACTTTATACCACCATGAGATACTTCAATCACTCTACTGCACAAGGGAGTGTATGTCTTGGATTCAGAATTAAACCAGATATTGTAGTTTTACTAACATGTTGGGATAGTACTATTTCATTTATTTATTACTGGTCAATGTACATAGTTTAATTTCCAGCTGGTGTGTCAGATTTGTTTAGACCTTGACCTTTAGTCTTGTTTTCGTCCCAGTTTGAGCCCAGATTAGTCTTGATGTCCTCAGTTGAGTCCTGATCTAGTCTAGTTCCAGGTTTATTTTATATTATTTTATATATATCCCTGATTTGATGTGGTTTGGTCTTGTCCTAGTTTTGTTCCTTGTTTAGTTCTACTTTAATGCTAGTTTAATTCTGGTTTAGTCCCCGCTTTAGTCCTAGTCAAGTCCCTACTTATGCCCTGGTTCAGACCCTGTACTATTCTGGTTTAGACCTGGTTTAATTCTGCTTTAATCCTGGTTTAGTTCTGGTTTACTCCTCACTTTAGTCCTGGTTCAGTCCCAATTTAAGTCCTGGTTTAGTTCCTGGTTTAGTATGTTTTTTTTTCTTGTTTGGTCGCTGCTTTAAGCCTGGTCCAATCGCTGCTTTAGTCCTGGCTTTGTCCCTGCTTTAGTCCTGGCTTTGTCCCTGCTTTAGTTTTGGGTCAGTGTGTACTTTACTATTGGTTCATTCCCTGGTTAGTCCTATTTTAGTCCTGGTTTAGTCATAGGCAGAGTTTGCCAGGGTCAGAGGGGCACTGCCTCCCCAATGGCTGAAATATGTCACGACATTGAGTCTATAATATGGCCAATGCAAGTATTTACTTTTTAAAAATGTATTCATATTTTAAATATGTCAATAAAACAAAAAGATTGTATGAAATAAATATGAATCCTAGTCTGAACCAGGACTGAACCAGGATTAAAACAGGACTGAACCAGGACTAAAACAGGACTGAACCAGGACTGAATTGGGACGAAACCAGGACTTAACCAGGACTTAACCAGGACTGAACCAGGACTAAAGCAGGACTGAACCAGGACTAAAACAGGATTGAACCATACTAAACCAACTAAAACAGGACTGAACAGGACTAAACAGGACCAGGACAGGACTGAACCAGGACTAACCAGGACTGAACCAGGACTAAACAGGACTAAACCAGGACTGAACAGGACTAAAACAGGACAAACCAGGACTAAACAGGACTAAAACAGGACTGAACTAGGACTAAACAGGAGGACTAAAACAGGATTGAACCAGTACTAAACCAGGACTAAAACAGGACTGAACTAGGACTAAAGCAGGACTGAGCCAGGACTAAAGCAGGACTGAACAGGACTGAACCAGGACGGAACCAGGACTGAACCAGGACTAAAACAGGACTAAACCAGCACTGAACCAGGACTAAAACAGGACTGGACCAGGTCTAAACTACCAGTGTTGTATGTGTAATAGCATTATAACTATTCTGTGTAATGTCACAGAATAGTTATACAGAATAGTTATAATGCAGCGTTGTGGACAGTAAAGCGATAATTTCATTGTACAGGGCAAGGTGTTTCCTTAGTGTGCACATTACGCAATTTAAATCTTGAATCTAGTGCTCTGACATTAAACTGTTTGCCCTCCCAGCACAAAAGTCAAACTCCGCCTATGGGTTTTATTCTACTTTAGTCCCTGCTTTAGTCACTTTAGTCCTGTTTTAGTCCCCGCTTTAGTCACTTTAGTCCTGTTTTAGTCCCCGCTTTAGTCACTTTAGTCCTGTTTTAGTCCCCGCTTTAGTCACTTTAGTCCTGTTTTAGTCCCTGCTTTAGTCACTTTAGTCCTGTTTTAGTCCCTGCTTTAGTCACTTTAGTCCTGTTTTAGTCCCCGCTTTAGTCACTTTAGTCCTGTTTTAGTCCCCGCTTTAGTCACTTTAGTCCTGTTTTAGTCCCCGCTTTAGTCACTTTAGTCCTGTTTTAGTCCCCGCTTTAGTCACTTTAGTCCTGTTTTAGTCCCCGCTTTAGTCACTTTAGTCCTGTTTTAGTCCCCGCTTTAGTCACTTTAGTCCTGTTTTAGTCCCTGCTTTAGTCTCTTTAGTTCTGTTTTAGTCCTGTTTTAATCGTGTTAAAATACAAATGTTTTTCTACCTGATTTTCTTGAGATGTTCTGGGCTCAGAGCCAGGGAGCGGCTGGACAGTGATGCAGAGGTGTTTAATCAGTGATCTTTCAGGAAATCCTTCTGTAAATATCAACTGCACATTACATATTGGATTTGCTCTTTTTGTTAAAGCAAATTGGCTCTTTCTCTGATAAAGAAAGGGCTGTTTTTAAATTGCTCTCTCTCTCTTGGCCTTGTCCATTGTGTCAATAATAGCAAAATCAATTTTCTTGCTCACAAAAATGTATTCATTTATAATTCGCACTATTCTAGATCCCATTTAGACAAAGTGCATTAGCTCTACCAAATAGTTAGTACCTTGTTAGAAAAAGCCTATTTTTAAGTATAGTGGATTTTCGGCCATTGTTCACATTCAGAAATCGTTTGGTAACTGGCACGGAAATGATTATCTAAGTTATTTAAATGAAAAAAAGTGATTTCTGTGCAAAAAAAGCTTCTGTCTTTGAAATTGTAGGGTAGATTTATGGAACAGGTTGTGGGAGGATGTAAAAATGTGTCTAAGCCAATTCAATAAAAAGTTTCAAAGAATGAGTAATGTGATTTTTTTTTTTTTTGTATCTTGGCTAGAATGAAATAAAAAGCAGGGTCTGTTTCTGTTAAAGGTGCACAATGTAACTTCTGTGGTGGAGGGTATGCACTAGGGATGGGCATTCGATTACATTATCTTAATCAATCGTCAGGAGAATTAACGATTGATTATCGGTTAATCATTAACGTTTTATATTAAATTTATCATCAGTATTATTACTATCTGCTCTACTAATCTGCATAAATAAATTCAACTTTACGACATATAAACCGTAACCACTCTAGAGCCACATCAGCCCGTTTGACATTATAATGAAAAGAAGAAACGAAACTTAAAACTGCATGGCTCATTTGCATAAACTAAGTGAAGAAACTTCTTAGGTTCGTTTTAAAGACAATGCAGTAAAGTGTATTTATCTTGTTGACATGTTTCGGCTGCTGCTGCAACCCATCTTCAGAACTGTCACCGGTGTTGGTGGTGACGTGTCGTATATCAGCTGTTGTTTCTTTCTGTGGGCGTGGTCAACCTGATGGACCTGGCAGGTCGCAGGAGGAACGCGCCGTCATCACGGTTAACGCTGTCCGTGCCTCGTTTCCTGATTTCAATGGCCTCCTTGATCCAGCGTGAACTTGTTGTTTTTCGATCCAATGACCCGAGCCCTGTCCCAATCCAGCCATCTGAAGATGGATTGCAGCTAGCAGCCGAAACATGTCAGCAAGGTAAAATACACTTTACTGCATTATCTTTAAAAAGAACCTAAGAAGTTAAAGTATATAAGAAGACAAAATGAACATCATTGGCTTACTAAGTGAAGAAAGCTGATGCAGTCAACTTCTGTCGGATTAAAGGACATGACTCAGTGGAATACAGGTTAGTGTGACCATATTTGCGTTTGTCAAAACCAGGACACCGTACGGGGGGTGGGAGGTGGGGCCTCGTCATCGACATTGAGCGACTCTCACCTGGCAAAACCTTTTCCCACTGGACACCAAAACATATGTTCCTGCTTTGTACACTGTGCACATGGACTCACACTTGTCCCGAACGCAACGGAAAGCGTGGAATTTCTTGTACAAATCAACGTTAAATATGCATTCGCGCTTCGGTACGTTGCAGACTGACCGACTGTTTGTGTCTCGCTCCTTCTGAGTGCAGAGAGACACACGTACAGACCCCTGTTTGTCCACGGACACGGACGTTTGGTCACCCTACACTACGCACAGCAACCTACATTCGGTTTGTCGATTAAAATGAACATAATCGATGAAATTCTTAATGATCAATTATCGATTAATTGACTAATCATGCCCATCCCTAGTATGGACTCTGCTTGTTTCCACGGAGATATTGTTTGACCTGGAATGCTCCACAATGTAGCATTAAACTGATAGATCTTCCATTTATACAATGAAGGGAGTTAAAAAAAAACATGCCTCTCCAAATCTCAGTCATCTATGGAGAGACAAACCCCCTCATAGACAGAATGTACATGTGCTGTTGCCAACTTGTCTCCATGGACATGAATGAGTTTAAAGCCAAACTGTGGAACATGTCAGTTTCATAGGACGACTTTAAAACAATGGGCTAAATGGTCTTTGTGTTGTAACATATTTTTTTATTTTTCTCTTATCTCATGACTGAAAACATGAGAGGATTTATGTACGTCTGGCCTCTTTCTAATCCTTTTCCGACTATTTATTCTCATCTTAAAAAGAAAAGATTAAAGAACACATATTATGCTATTTTCGATGTTGTAAAAATACTTTATTCATCACAAACATACCATATGGAGTTGTGTTTTGTTTCATTCGCACATTTTAACACACAAACCCTGCAGATTTAAACTGAGTTCTTCTCTCAAAGAAGAAACACTCACATTAATACAGGAAGTGCTCCACCGAGTTTTTGATCTCCATACCTTCACTACAGTCATTTGGACAATTTCAGCTCTGGAATTGCCTATGGAATTCAAGGTAGACGTTACTTGACATCACAAGCAACAGAGTGTCTTGAGCTTTGGTGATATAAACATCTTAAGAATAAAGGATTGCTCAAACCTCAAAGACATATCTGGAAACAGAATTATAACATGGCTTAAATTAAAGCTCACAAGAGACAGTCTGTGTGTAATATAGGACCTATCATGCATATGTATATTTTGCCTGCTATGATAAGTTGCTGAATTTCAAATCTCCAATCACGAATTCTGCCCCTGTTCCTTGTCTCTCCCTCAGGACGCCATGGTGGTGATTCTGAAGAGCCTGGTGCCCGGGTGTATGTTTAATATTGTGGGATTTGGTTCCACGTTCAAGTCCCTCTTCAGCACCAGCCAAAACTACGAGGAGGTAAAACTGACCCTCTCTTCAAAAGCTCATCTTTTCAATAGAAACATGCTGCTTTGATGTGGTGCTTTGATATAGAATGTATAGTATACTATACTATATATGTATCAGTGTTTTCCACAGAAAATTATATGGTATGGTATAGAATCCTGCCAACTGTTTTTAGTTTTTTTTTTTCATTACAATTATGCTCAAAAGGAATACATGAAAAATATAAATATATCAAACAGAGATTATAGTTTTGTTATATGGGCATGATAAACCTTCTCAAAGCTTTTAAATGGAGATTTGAACTTGACTTTTAACTAAATGTCAATGGGAAAATTTTATGGCAAATTTCATTAGTCGGTTGTTTAGCTACTAAATGGGAAGAAAGGAACAGTGTGAAAAATCTCTCAGTTGTCCAGATAAAATCCATGGGAAAGGAGAAATTCAATTTGTCGACTGGACAAAGGTTTATTTGGTTTTGAATGATCTGCGAAACGTATTCGACCAAATAAACTTTTAAACTCTTCAGTTCTGAACTGAAGAAGCAGCTTGGATGAGCTGCGAAACATATTCGACCAAATAAACTTTTGTCCAGTCGACAAATTGAATTTCTCCTTTGCCAAGAAAGGAATAGCCACAAATATTGAACAATCGTGACTCAGCCCTTAGAGCATAAATTACAACAGGCCATTTTACCTTCCCCCATCTCCACTAAATATTAGCCAGTGCTTGTAATATCTGAAATCTGGTAATCCAGAAAATCAGGGTGGGTGTGCATCTTTGTGACATACACAATAAGTAAGATTTTGCAGCTAAGGTAGTCCTGACCAAGATTATCTCTAGATATGCAGATGGGCCCCTTGCTGCTCCTCACAGATAACCCCACTGGCATTGAAGGACGGGTCAAATGCAGAGGACAGATTTCCCTATAGGGACAATAAAGTGTACCTTACTTTATTTTTACGGATGGTCTGACAAGGATTTTTAGATACCCATATCCCACCGATATCCCTAAATTATACAAATGAAGTTAATATTTTCATTTAGTCTTCTCAAAAAGACAAATCAGAAATCTGGGAAATTTCACAAGTATCAGTGATAACAAATATACCATCTTACTACCTTTTCTAATGTTTTCCAGGACGCGGTTGCCTTGGCATGTGAGTACATCAGAAAGATCCGTGCAGACATGGGGGGCACTAACATCTTGGCCCCTCTCTCCTGGATCCTGAGGCAGCCCATGTTCAGCAGTCACCCACGCCTCCTCTTCCTCCTCACCGACGGAGCAGTCCGAAACACAGGCAAAGTCATAGAGCTAGTCCGGAGCCACGCAAGATACGTCAGGCAAGTGCTCCAGGTTTAAACATCAGCATCTGTGGTTAATTCCTCTAAATGCATGAGAATAAAACTATGAGCTTACAATGTTATAACGTTGTTCCCTCATCAAAAACATGCCTGAAGTGGTTTTAGATGTCGTCCAAGCATGTTTCAGTATTTTGACGATACCTCTCGGGCACTATTCGGACACTGTTTATGGTTAACTCTGAGATTCTGTCCAATGTTCAGCCCACAAGCCGACATCATCCATGCTCCCACATGACAATTCTCCATAAATACACAGAAGTATGATACTAACAGCAACTTGAAAAACCTGAAGCAATGTGCAGTAGTTTCATAAGCAGGATGCATGGTGATGACACTCTGAGTGACAGAAGAGTCAAAAATGAAAGTGAAACTTAGAAAGTATGTTAATATAGCATTTTCAAAACAATTAAAGGTAACATCTACCATATTTTTCAGACTTTCAGATGCACTTAAAATCCTTTAATTTTCTCAAAAATCGACAGTGTGCCTTATAATGCTGTGCGCCCCATGTATTAATTCTGGTGCTTACTGACCTCGAACCGATTTCATGTGGTACACGGCGCTCAAAAATCTGTGAAAATGTTTTAGTACGACTTCCAACAGAAGCTGACCACATGAGGGCACAAGAAGCGAGATGTTTTTTTCAGTCCTTATAGTTTATGCAAATGAGCCATGTGGTTTTAAGTTTAGTTTTTTGTAAAACATAAACAAATATGCACAAAACTGCATTAAACACATTATTACTCAATGTATATTTGAGTCGTCCTCATAGGAAATAAAAAAATAAAAAATAACTCAAATGATCCACCCACATTCACATTCATAATCCACATTCACCAAGACAGGGAGACAACGCCAGGCGAATTACGCCACGATCTGCCGATGGATCGTGGACGCCTGGACTAAGGATCAGTCTCAAGTGCCGTCCGTTTGTTTCGCTTAATGTGCCTTATAATCCCATGCAATTTATGAATGAAAATAGATGAGAGAATTCAACATTATTGATATTACGCCTTATAATCCGGTGCGCCTTATAGTCTGAAAAACACAGTAAATCTGTGATGTGATAGCAGTTAATACCACATAGAAGTAAAATACCCCCTCTTTAGACATCAGCTTTTGAGAATGCATTGGATTTCTGTAGCACTTTTGGTTACCTCCTGCCTTCAAACTCCCTCATACACGCACACACATACTAGAAAATGTGAGTGAAATGTCTTGGCGCCTGGTATTCCCAATGGTCTCGCATTCAAATACTAACCAGGCCTGGCCTTGCTTATCTTCCTAGATCTGGCAACATCTGGCAATGACAAGCAGGTATAGCCAAGTTCAGTCTATGTAAAGCATTATGATGTAGTTAATCTGATTTGGATACCACAGAATTGGTATTTCATATTTAAAAATGTTAATTATCTGTCTGTACTTAACAAAGGTGAAATTATTTCAGCCCTTATGTCTGTGTTCAGGTAGAGTAGAGGGCTCATAGGCCAATGTGAAGTCACACAATAGCTATGTAACTTTTTAAAATAATCAATACATAACCTGCTTGTGTCCATGTGTTTTAGATGTTCAATGCCATACTGTGTAATATTCCAGGCAAAGCAATGACATCTCCATGGAGACAAGCCTCACTAAATGTTTGTTTCTCACATCTTAGCACATATGCCATTTTCCTGCCTTATTTAAATGTTATCCTGACAATCTAAAATCCTTTGTGTCCTTTGGTTCAACAGATTTGCTCATTTAACACTTGTCTTAACATTATTTCACATCATGTTATAATCCATATGGAGTCTGACAGCTGGTTAGTGATTGGACAACTCCTTCACACACAGGTTACACAGGGCTTTGTGTTGTCAGCACACTGGAGCTGATGAGCGTCGCATCTTAAACGGAGGAGATCGATTCAAACTAAATTGTTATGGATATTGTCATTGTCTGCAGTGAAGCGGTTACGACCTTGTAGCGCGCTAACAAAGACGTGTTTGACTGAATTATATTACTGTCTATTATATTAGCCGCCGCAGACGTTTTGATTCAATGTTTCAATTAGAAACTACATGATTGGTGGTAAAATTCACTTTACTGCCATTGGGACATTGTGCAAGACACTTCCCCCTGCTTCTGTTTTATTTGAAGTCTGTATTTTGTCATGCATATCCCCATGGAAATGTTATTGCTTTGCCGGGAATGTTCCACTGTATGGCATTTATTACAGGTGTTATTATTGCTCAAAAATATCTTAAAAAACAACATAAATTCTTACTGTGTAGAGGGTCGCCTCTCCACATATCTGACTTGTAACTTGGCCTGGTGGCCTGTTTGTCTCAGTGGAGATGGGTCGATTTAATGTCATACTGTGGAACATTTCAGGCAAGCGATAACGTCTTCATGGAGTCAAACAGGTGTCTACCCCAAAAATCATTGGAAATGTCATTGCTTTGCCTGGAATATTCCACAGTGTGGCATTCAACTTATCTATCTTGCATTTATTACACCATGCTCGCACCAAGAGTGTTGTGAGTGTCACACCAAGTGTCGCCACGGCGACAGCCACTCAGTGAACACCTTTTGACAGATACATGTAAGGCCTTGGTTGAGGCACTAAACTTGCTCTTAATTACCCCCACACGTGGTTAACGTCCCTAGAGGGAAGAATGAGAATGAACTGAGCACACAAAAGCGTTTCTGTTGCTCTTGGAGGGAGTGCAGTGTTAAGGTTGTTTTTATTGCTCAAAAATCTTTTGAGCATTTTTACTGTGAGCGAGGTCGCCTCTCCACAGTTCTGATCTGATCCAAACTGTGAAACATTCCAGGCAAGGCAATAATATATCCATCAGAAAAGTTAAATAATGCATCTTGAAGCACAAATTTAACTCTTTTTTTCACATGGCATTGAAAAGTGAATGCACGGCATCTGAAACAATTCATTTTGTAATATTTCTTTCTTTCCTATGGCATAATCCCTACAGAGAACCTTGTCATTATCCCATTTTTTTACATGCGCACAGCCAGCTAAGGACAGTGTAACAAAAGACTGTTAAAAAGCATCAGGTATAACTCTGCAAAAAGGTGACATTTCCATTTTTATCTTGCCCTCTTGGCTCTTATTATACGAGAGGACTCAGTATGAGCAGTGAAATTAGCACGCTCCTCCCGCCTGCCTGTCAAACTAAATGAATTCAGTTTCAAACTTTATTTTCCTTAAAAAACTGACTTAAAAAGCGACAGGCATGTCTCAACTTGAAATATGTTTCCTTTGAGCATAAATTGGGGTGTTTATATGCACCGCACGGCATTGTTAGTGCTGTGTGTGTGTCACATCTGTTTCTAACCTTTTCCTCAGCTTGACTTCATAGATCTGTGAGGGGAATTTGTTGTGCTTGTAAGTTTAGCAATAAAACCAGAACCACAAAGCAAGTAATGAGATAAAACAAACAGTAACAATAAAACAATATTAATTAAAAACATAAAATCCACTTTTATGGCTGTAGCACCACGAGAATGCTCAATCTCATCTGGTTTCAGAAGCTAAGCAGGGGTGGGCCTGGTTAGTACTTGAATGTGAGACCGCTGGGAAACGAGGTGCCGTAGTGGGACAGCAGTGACTCTAGTGTAACTGTTGTTGTGTTCTTAGGCAAGACACTTCACCTTGGACAGTGTGAATGTAGTGTCTGAGTGTGTGAGTGATGGGTATCTATAAAAAAAAGTCTATATCTACATCTATAAATGAAATGCATTACCGTATTTTACGGGCTGTTAGGTGCTCTGGATTATAAGGCACACTGTCATTAAATGGTCTGTTTTTGAACTTTTTTCACAAATAAACCACACTGGACTTTAAATGAAACACAACAGTTGGATGGGTCAGTGGGACTTTGTTTGTGGCGTTCACGGTGACTCTGGGCTTTGTTCAGTTGTGGCGTGTAGGGAGGGTGTTGTCTGGGATCGCTGGATTGTTGACATGTTCGCAGTGACTCAGTTGTTCAGTTGTGGCTCAGAGTGGCACATTGGACTCGCTTTTTTGGTTCGTTCCTTCTTTCCGTTCCTCGTCGGCGTGGAGTGATGAGTGTGTCTGTGGGTGTGTTGCGCTGTGTGGTCGCTGTCTGCTCCGTGTGTGTTTGCGTGCGCTGTGGGTGGTGCGACTTTGTAGTTTACTGAAGTCGCGCTGGGACACCCGAGTGGATTCGTGTATGGGGCACTCTGTATTGCGTGGCATGGGGTTGTTTTTTGATGCGGTTAAAGGCTTAAGAGCGCGTCTATTTGCCCGGAAAATAAAGTACTATCATTATTTCATACTAATTCCAAGGTTGATGGTTCAATCTCTTGACACTGAACCCACCTTGCCTGTGTCTGTAAATATGTGGTTAGTGGTGGTACAGAAGGACTGCCACCTTTGCTACACGACCGCTTTATCGCTATAGACTGACAAGGGAAAGAAGAAATAATGGACTTGCAGTTCTAAGAGTTGGATCAATCCTGTGATGCACAATTGAAAAATAAGAGGTATTAAATGAGAGTGAGTTGAACAGTGCATCAGTTGAATGTCCCACTGGAAATATCACACAGAACATGAGACATGATTTTCCTCAGGGATTTGATCATCCGTGGAGTAGACAACAAAATTACAGTGTTTTTACTAAAGGTTTTCCTTAGATTGACATAAAGTGGCTGGTGCCTTTGAGATATGACACTATAATTGGCAACAATATTCATGGGTTTCAGCTTCCTATTATATAAAACATTTTGGTGCAGTAACAGTAATTTTACTTCTATGGGGTAATAACAGCTAACCCATAACATATTTAGGTCATGTTATATGTTATATTTGCAGAAAACAACATATGTTTTATACACTTCACTTTTGTTTTTGACGCTCTGAGACTCCTCCCTTTGCTCTCTGTGTTAAGTCACTCCCTCTTCAGAGCTTTATCACAATATAATCACCCAATAAAACTACTGCACATCGCATCAGGTTTGTCAAGTTCATGTGTTCAGTTTTGTATCATGATTTTGTATATTTATGGAGAATTGTCGTGTGGGAGCATTGTTGATGTGGGCTTGTGGGCGGAGCATTGCACAGAATCTTACAGCTAATCATAAGAAGGGTTTGGATAGGACCCGGGAGAGATTGCTAAAATACTCAGACATGCATGGATGATCTAAAACCTCTTCAGGCATCTTTTTGACAAAGGAACATTGTAATTGTGGAAAGCTAAACAAATCTATTTTGCCTAATGCCACCTCTTTGAACACAATCTCTTGTTTTTATTTCTGTGCAGGTGTTTCACGTTTGGCATTGGTCAGAATGCATGCAGGAGGCTGGTGCAGGGCGTGGCCACAGTGTCCAGGGGAGCGGCGGAGTTCCTGTCGGACGGAGAGAGACTGCAGCCCAAGGTTCAAATCTATGCACATACAGTATCTGTTCTTTTGGTCATTTAGGGCTGTCATGGTAACCACAATGAAGAGAGTCCACACTGCAAAAGCTAATGTATACAAGTATTTTTAATCTTTGAATGAAGTGAATTATTCAAAAAAATTTACCTTATCTAGATGATATTTTTATTGTTATTTCAATTAAAAAAGCAATGCCTATTCAATCGACTGTATCACCATTGTCACAGTAATTAACAATTAAAAACAAAATATATCTTATAAATGGGGAAAGTCCTCAAAAGATCACCTGTTCATGGGTTTCAGAATGATTCATTTTTAAGACTGTTGCCATAGCGAATAACCATTTAAAACTAAATATTGTATCTTACCTGGAAGTTCTGCTGCTTAGCGTGCCTTTCATTGATAGTCACATCTATTAGTTTATCGCCTCGCTGCTTCCCGTTTCTCATCATTGGAGTTCAACAATTACTTTCTATGATGTGAAAGTAAACACATTGCTATAAAAGAAGAGGACATGTTTATCCACAAAATTGCATTGATTTATATAATTTATAATATATATATCCTTATATAAAAAGGGTAAGTCTTCTTGATGCATAACTTTAGGGCAAATAAATCAGAGAGAATAAAATATCAAAATTTAAACAGTCACGATGACTGTTTTTTGATTGGTGTTTATTTGAAATAAACTTTAAATTGGAAATAGAGCTCGAAATCTGTTTTTTTGTTTGCCACTAAAATGGAATCATGAAATAACAAACTTTTTTCCCATTTTATTGTTTTTTGTTCTTAATGAAATTTGAAAGAACGAATGACACACAGACCATTTGACAATTAAATGTTTATTTGACTTTCACTGTGACATTTGGGAGAAAGCACCAGAGTCCTAGATCTTCTGGACTCTCCTCCTTCTCCGGTGGGTGAAGTTGCTTTTCATCTCTCCTGACATCTGCACATCCATCTCCAGGTTTCTCTTTAGACTCAGAATCTTTAAGATCTTGGAATGCTGTTGGTTGAACATCATCTTGCTGTCAAGTTTGATCCATGTGGTTGATGAGGTTAATTTGGTCTAATAATTTATTCTAACATACATTTTTCAGACCTAAGTTTAGTTTGTAAACTAGTAGTTTACAAATGAACTACTATTATTACATTTAGTTTAGTAGCAGTAGTTTGGTAAGTTCAAGTTCAAGTCTAAAAGTCTAAAAATATCATGTCTGAAAGTTAAACTCTGAAAAAAATGAACAGTTAGAATAGGTTTTGATGTTTTGGTGATCATTGCCAAAGTAACAAATTGTTGAAAACATTGATGCTCTCTGTTTTCATTGGCTAAAAGTTCTCAAAATGGAGCTGGTCCTGGTAGAATGATGTCATGATGGTCTTTAGTATTTAAACATGGAAGCCAGAGATTCATTTTTTTTTTCTCAGGCTTCAAAGGTGGGGGAAAATCCTTTGAAAATGTGTGTCTCAGAAATGTGCTTCTCTTCTGGCTCCTCGACATTCCTCAGATGTTGGGGAAATTTAAAGTTCTCTCACCTCTTGCATCTGCCCATCACTGGTTCTTTGACTTTGGGCATATTTTTTCTCTTCTTTGCTGGTTTTGTTTCCTTATTATGCAACGTCGGTGATTGAGCCGCCAACTCGGCTCTAACTGAAGTCCCTCAGGCTTGTTAGTTTGTGCGTTCCAAGTGATGTTGGGCTTGACCTGTGTTTTAGGCGGTTCTGTCTCCTCTGCAGGAAGAGTGCAGGAAGACTTCTCTTAGACATCATATTTAACCTCTTAGCCTTTCAGGTCTTCTTTTTCCTGTTTTGCCTTTTCATATTTCTTTGCTTTTTCCCAGCAGCTTTGGTCGGTTGGTCAGGTCATTTTGAGCAGGTGTAACACATTATATCATCTTTGACACCATCTGGAGACTGTAAGGTCCTTTGTTTTTTGATTCTGTTTTAGATCTCCATGGTTATTTGTAGGATCTATAATATTAGCTTCAGTTACTTCACTGGTGTCTTCTGCTGAAGGTTTTCATCCTTGTTTGTAGGTTCATGTGGTGCAGGGAGACATTCCTTTAAAGAGACAATCCAGAATTTTGGACATAGGGCCTCATTTCCTAGTGAGCCAGAGTGTTGGAGACGTGTGGAGACACTTTTTAAAATATTCCATCCAGTCCTTGTATCTGCAGAGGTCACTGGTGCTAGGCTAGTGCATGTCAATGACCATAGTTATCCTGCCACTAAAAGCAGACTTACCCACTCCACAAAACACCCGAAACAAATCTATTATTACACCAGACTGTCCATGTGAATGTTTGTGTCGATAGAATAATGTCTGAATTAAAATTAACCTTGAATTGCATTAATTGTCACATGTTGAGGGACTATTTTCTCAGCAGCAGGGGAATATTACTTTGCGGTAAGATCAGTCCGCCGCTGCCAAGCTTTCAATCAGGAAGAACAACTCGCTACTGCTGCTCAGACATATATCCTTCAAATGCAAGGTTGGTTTTACAAGACTGGATGGAATATTTAAAAAATATTCACTCTGGCTAACTAGGAAATGAGGTCCTATGTCCAAAATTCCAGACTGTCCCTTTAACACCTCTATGACAATAACCTGGGGTACAGCTTCACTCATCTCAGGTTTCAGAGGAGCTGAAGGAAGTTGTCCCAATTCAGGACATTTCTGTTCATTCAGGACTCCATGGTCAGTTGACTGTGTCCCTAAAAGGCCTCTACCTGATTTGACTTTATTCTTGTCAAGATAAATGCTCTTTACACCATGCACTGTACGCTAAAAGCAGCTAATAATGAAACAGTAAAATATCTATCCACTTTACATAATTTTATGTTTACGTAATGAGTAATAGAGAAGCTACTGACAGGGTTACCTTTTTGTATCCAATCCACCACGTTGTTACTAAGAATCATGGGAAACCAACTGCCTGACACTATCCCAGACACTTGATTCTCTGTCATAGAGCATTTTCATAAGTGTCAAAAACGCAAATAGGCAGAGATTGGAGTACTATAAGAAAATAACTGGATAACACCGTCCCAGACAGTTGTTTCTGTGTCATCTGTGTCAATATCACAGTTGGCAGCAAGGACGAAATGGGTGAAGCTGAAATTTTAAACTAAAACATGTTCCTGACTCATGGACACAAATCAGGTACAAGCTCTTAAACTTATCTACTGTATTTTTTGGACCAGCCAAAAAATGTGCAATGAAGAAGAAAAAAACACTTTTTGGGGAAATGTATTTTGTAAAATCAGAGAACCGACATTTCATCTTGAAAGGCAAGTTCTAGTAATAACAACAGAATAGAGAACAACAGGCTGAATAGGCATTAATATGTTAACGTAATATGTTAACAGTTCTTCAGATAATTATAGCATAAACAACAGAACATAAGTTTACCAAACTCTCCATCTCTCTCCAAATCACTAAATCCATTGAATTCTTCATCCTCGGTGTCACTTCTGCACGACCTCCGGAGATAAACCATAAGTCCATGATGTAAACAGAGCACCGCTTCCTCTTTTGCGTAGCTGTCGTCAGACTCAGCATCAGTTCCAGTTAGAATTATTCCGGTCTTTCTGAATTTCCACAGGATGGTTTGGATTGTCATTGAAGTTCAGGCTTTGTCGATTCATCCAGTGACGTCCAGGAAAGTTACATGGTGCATCCTCCCGGTTGCTGTGAAGCTGTGTTCTCCATCCCTGCTTTCCATCAAGTCCCTCACAAGTTTCTCGCTCGCTCCAAACTTTCGGTCTTCTGTTCGATTACTGTTTTTGGCTGAATATTTCACTATTTGCAGCGAGACAGCGTCTATTTCTACAGGAGACATGCACAGTAGAGTACGAAGTGATAGTGGTACAGGAGTAATAGTAGTACTAGATACTGACACAAGAGTCTAGAGCCTCTCGCGGCTGTCAGTCTGAACATTTTAATATATAAGTCGCACCGGAGTATAAGTCGAAGGAAACACAAACCATGAAAAAAGTGTGAATTATAGTCCAAAAAATACGGTAGATAAATTTTTTTGCACTGCAGAAAACTTGATATTTCAATAAAACAGCATTGCCAATTCAATCTAGCGCCATTGCCATAGCGATTTACAGTTCAGTTCAAATGATTATATTTATTAAATGGGTAAAATTTGTTAAAATATCACCTACAAACAGGAAACTGAAACACATGAATACTGTTACCAACCTGTTGCCAATTACAGTGTCATATCTCAGAGGTACCAGCCACTTGATGTCCATCCAGGGAAAACCTTCAGTAAAAACACTATCATTTAGTTGTTTACTCTTCTCTCCACAGATGATTAAATCCCTGAAGAAAACCATGTCTCCTGTTCTGAGTGATATTTCCATCGAATGGCTTTTCCCAGAGACCAAGGAGGTGCTGCTGTCTCCGGTGGGCAGTACGTTCCTCTTCCCTGGCGACAGTCTGATTGGATACTGCGTGGTTTGTGATACCACCCGCTACCACGCTAACCCCAAATCTGTGAGTGCCCAGACACAAGCTGCTGCTGCTCAGATGTGAGGTTTGAAAGAAAAAAGACATTCAGCAGAGGAGCAAAATGACGTGCTCCCTGTGGTTTTGAGTAGGGATGCACCGATATGATACAGTACGAGAATCGGATATCAGTTACAAGATACTGGTTCAGTCGATATCCCATTTTGATTTATAAATTGGTGTAATTAGACAATTTATTGGTTCAAAATGACATAATATTAAACTTGTATTTTTTTCAGTGCTGTTTTGTTGTTACTTTAAATGAGAAATAACTAACAATACACAATTGGATAATTGTTTTTATTATTATTATTATTCATAATAATAATAATATTAATACATAAATCCTATTATTATAATTCTGTTTCTGCCCTATTATCTGTTGTTATCTATTGATAATTGATAGAGCCAAAGTATTGACATTGGTATCGGAACAGAAAAGGCTGGATCGGTGCATCCCTAGTTTTTCGTTTTAAGAGGGTTTTGTGTGCAATTTGTATTAGACACATGTAAACATTTTATTAATATTTTTATTAAAGCCATAGTATGTACATTTTTTTTTGTCCAAAATTGATTAAAATAAATACATTTTTGTTGTTGTAGTCAGTACCGTAGCTACCCATTAAGCACATAATGCACAGCGTGTAGGCACCAAGTGCTTGCGGTGCACCACATGAATCCTTGTATCCCTAATCCTAAACCACATCCCCCATCTCACCCCCGGGCCTCAATTTCCACCACCCAGGATGAGCACATCAAAGCATCTGTGCGTAGGGAACCCGGATGGCTAGCTGTGGCTCTGGTTGTAGTTTTTATCGCACTGAAAAACATATGAAACATGCTTCCTTGCTGTGAGTGAGCTTATATCTCCACAAACCTAACTCTTAGGCCCCGTCCACACTAGTACATATTTGTGTCGTTTTCGTTGCGGATACAGCGTTTGTTCACACTAAGCCTATTGAAAATGGCTCCAGAGAACGATCTGGTGCCGCCAGCTCCCACGAATTCATTAAGGATCTGATCCGGCACTGTGTGGACGCTTGAAAACGCTGATACGCTGATGTAGGTTTATGCGCCATGAAGTAGCTAATTCACCGCTAAAATGCAAAGAGGCTAGAATATATTCATATATACGGTCTATGCGTATGACCTGGAGATGTATAATCTCTGAAAAATTTAGCATGAACCATCTCCAACGCGATAGAAGCACAGAACAGACTCACCATCAGCAGAACACCCCTCTGTCACAGAAAGAACACTCATATTCCACTGAGTCATGTCCTTTAGTCTGACAGAAGCTGAACCGCATCAGCGCACAAGGAGCGCGCTGTTTTTTGAGCGCTCAGTTTATGCAAATTAGCCATGTGGCTTTAAGTTTTGTTTCTGTAAAACATAAACAAATATGCTCAAAGCTGTGTGGATAGGGAAGGATTGTGGACACAGAAACAACGTGTGTGGACGCAGATCGTTTCAGTGTAAATGGGGTCTAAGCCACACCCCCCACCTCACCCCCAGGCCTCAATTTCCACCTCCCGGGATGAGCACATCAAAGCATCTGTGCGTAGGGAACCCAGATGGCTAGCTGGGGCTCTGGTTGTAGTTTTTATCACACTGAAAAACACATAAAACATGCTTCTTTACTGTGCGTGAGCTTGTATCTCCACAAACCTGACTCTTATTTTCTTGTTTATTTTGCTGGAGATATTGTTCCTTTGACTATAATCTTCCATAAAATGTATGTATCTCCATGAAGAAAGATGTTTTTAACTTCCTATTTCTATGGAATCATGCAGGTAACGTGCCACCTCCAGAAAGTTACATATTATGGCAATTATTATGTTATTACTACTGTATATAGACAGTAGAGATCGGGAGTGTGGGCAATAATAAGGCATGATTCTTTCTTTACATTTGAGAGAAGACTGAAAGATGAGCTGATAAACTACTACAAGGATCATTTCGAATCATTTTGTATTCATTGGAGATGTCGACCCACGATATCCCCCCCATCTGTGAGTGCCCAAAGCTTCAGCTCAGATGTAGGGTTTGAGAGGAAAAGGCATTTAGCAGAGGAACAAAACAATGTGCACCCTGTGGTTTTAAGAGGTTTTTGTGTGCCATTTGTATTCAGTAGGAGGAAAACTGGTCATTCATCTAAGCATTTATACTGCGGGAGAGAAGTCTGTTAAAATCATTACTATATAAACAATAAATATCAGGAGGGTGGTCACTGCCTAATGTTAAAGCAACATTATGTAACTTTCTTAGGGTGGCATGTCAATTGCACGATAATCCCATGGAAACTGAACATTAAAATCATACTTTGGAACATTCTTTATGGAGATATATGAGTTTTATGCCATACTGTGGAAGATTATAGCCAAAGGAACAACATTACCATGGAAACAAGCAGAAGGAAGTTCTCATCCAGGCCAAACAAGAGTCTAGAGTTTGTGGAGATGCAAGCCCACTCACACAGTAAAGACAACAGGAAAGAAAATATGCTTTTATTTCAGTCTTTGTTGGCTAAAAATCTCCATGGAGACAAGCAGGTAGGAGCACCAGGTCTAGTTACAGGTCATATGTGTGGAGAAATGAGTCCGCTAGTAGCTAAATTCAGTATGCTGAGTTTAAAGTAACTTGGTTGCTTAGTGCAGTTTTACTTTCCCTAGATGCCTAAAAATACCACTTACATAACACATGGTTTGACATTTTATTCTTGTATTTAGTAGGGATGTAACAATAACTGAAATACTGTGATATCGTATCATCAAAGTTCTCACAATAATATCGTGGATCATCACAATATATCGACTTACAAGTCTCTTTGCTCACATTAAGAGTTATGGTGCTGCAATAGCTAAAAAAAAGACAGAGGGAACTACATAGACCATGATCCTTTGCTCCATTTCAGTGTAAACTACATGAATAAATAACTTTTAAGTCTTAGTTCTTTAGATTAAGTCTTGTCAAGGCATTTAAAGAGGAAAAAGTAGAATATTAACAGTTTTTGCTGTTTATTGCAATATTTTTTGGAGGCTAAATACTGAAGAGAGTACTGAGAGATTTGGATATCATTACTAGGGACAGGCATGATTAGTCGACTAATCGATAATTGATCATTAAGAATTTTGTCCATTACGTTCATTTCTAATCAACAAACCGAATGTGGGTTTCTGTGCGTAGAGACGATGCTGCGTCTGACAGCGCAAACACTGAAGTTGCGGCCTCAGTCCCACATTTGGTCTCTTGCACCTCCTTGGAGACACTGTACCACTCAGTGAGTGTGTTTATATGCACATCTGTATCCCGGTTTCAATATGTTGCATGTTTACGCAGTATCCCGGTCACTGCAACATAAAGAGCTGCGCTAAACCTTCACACGTCTGAAACATCACAACACACACAGAACAGACTCACCTTCAGCATCAACATCCCTCTGTCACAGAAAGAACACCAATATTCCACTGAGTCGTGTCCTTTAGTCTGACAGAAGCTGAACTGCATCAGCGCACAATAGCTTTTTTTTTTTTTTTCCTTTTCTCCGCTTTGTTTATGCAAATGAGCCATGTGGTTTTAAGTTTTGTTTCTGTGAGACTTGCACAAATCTGCATTAAACACATTATAATGTCAAACGGGCTGATGGGGCTCTAGAGTCGTTATGGTTTATATGTTGTAAAGTTGAGTTTATTTAGACAGATTAGTAATAGTAATAATAATGATGATACTTATTATATAAAAAACATTAATGATTAATTGAAAATCGATCGTTAATTCTCCCAACGATCGATTAATAAAATTTCATCGAATGCCCATCCCTAATCGTGAGCCTCCCCTCCATATCGTGAGCTTTCTCATGGTATTATAATAAATATCGTACCGTGAGGTTCATACCGTGACGATATCGTATTGTGAGACTTTGATATCGTTACACCCCTAGTACTTAGTAGGTAAATCAAATCATAAATGTTGATAATTATTTTACTGATTGTAAAAGGCAATATTGGTCTAAAATGCCATCAGTAATAGTAAAGAGATGTGGGCGGAGATAGGAGGTAGGTGCAAACGGACACTTTCTGAGCGCTCAAACCTCAAATGTAGGACGATAACAGGATACTCACCCGTGTATGAATCAATTTAAATACAATCTTGATTAAGATGATGATGATGAGAGGAAACCGTTGTTATTTAAAGCTCATAAAAGTGAAGTTTGCACAATATGTTCACTTTAAAGATGTAACTTTTCTGGTGGAGGGGCTATCAATTGCTCGTGTCCATGGAAATGCTTTTGTTTTTGCCTATATGTTGCTAACTTATCTACAGTATCTCCATGGAAACAAGCAGGTGACAGCACTAGGTCATATCTGTGGAGACGTGACCCTGCTCACTGTGAGAACATGTTTTTCACCTGTAATAACACCTGTAATTTGGTAAACGCCGTATAGATACAGTACGTTTAATGCAGTATTGTGGACATACTGCTGCTTTAATTGTCTATAAATATTAAATACAGTTGGAGTTTCAAAATAAAAGCCTTTTGTATTTTTCATCTGATTTGTCAAACCCAGGACAAACGGAGGCGATACAGTATGATGCGCTCCACTGAATCTGCCAGCTCGGTTTTCTACCACTCACAAGAAGAAGATTTGACCAAAACGAGTACAGACAGCTCCCACCGAGAGACCACCTCCAACCCAGACCCAGGGACAGAGTGCAGCCCCGTCACCGCTGACCCAGACTGCACAGGTAATCAGATCAGAGAAAGAAGCTGGATTTCCACTAGAACAAAATTTACAAACTAGGAACTTGCTTTGGCAGTGTGTTGCAAATATGATGAAAGACATGAAAAGGTGTTAAATAAAAATAGAGTTTGAATAGAGGTTATGTAGATGACAGCACAACTTTTGCAAGAGTATTAGGCTACATTCAGACTGCAGCTTGAAGTGACCCAAATCCGATTTTTTGGCCTCTATGTGACCTGTATCTGATCTTTTAATGACAGTCTGAACCACACAGATCCGATTTTTTCAAATGTGACTCAGGACACTTGGATATGTGCTCCTGAAACGATACATATCCAATCTTTTGACATGCGACTTCAGTCTGAACGGCCAAAGTGCATTCATCCACCTACACTTTATCAACAAGCCACAAACGTCACTATTCTGCGCTGAACTAGGCGAAAATTGTTAATGAACTCCATATCACTGAAGCGAAGCACATCACCACTCACCACTCTTGGCTACGTCTCCACATCCACACGTTCCTTTCAACAGACGTTGCTGCTGCTGTCCAACAAAACGTCACGTCACGGCCAAAAACCTCGTCCTTCTCCTTCTCAATCTCCTCCTTAAAACAAGTAAGTTGTTCATGTTCTGGCTCCGGTACAAGAGGAACTTTAAAATCTCCAGGTGCTCAATGCTGCGTCCATGTTTGGACAACTTCCGTAAACACAGAGCACGGTCGCTGTGGTTGACGTCACCGTGTCCTCCAGTGAGCATGCGGGACACTTTCGGGCTGTTTAATGTTCACACTGGAGATCACATACAAGTTGCATTTAATTGGAAATGTGAACAACCTCGAAAAAAACATCGGATTTCACAAAAAAAATTGGAATTGATCATTAAGCCCTGCAGTCTGAACATAGCCTTAGTTTATGACTGTTGAGTGTCGATGGTAAGGAATGACATTTTCTTCTGTAAAAGCTTAAAACACATCAAACATGTAAAAGATCTGCTACGGTCTGCAACTCTGCTAAATATTTAGTTTGTACCCGATTTCTAAAATGAGAAAATCAGCTAAACAGTCATAGAAAAACAGTGAGCTAAACAACAGGGGCACAGTGCAGACTACGCTCACAGTCATCGTTCATAGAGACTTTGGGACACAAACACAGTTGAGCTGAACCTTTCTCTCCTTAATTAAGATGTTCTTCTGAGTCTGTGTGTTGAGTAAATAATTGTTGTGGGGCAAAAACAATAGATCCACAAACAAAAATGAGGCAGAGAAACACAATTTTGTCAGTTAAGCTGCCCATATTTCTGCCTCAGTGTCACTCAGTTGGAACGCACTGAATAAACATTGCAAAGTGTTGTATTCATTTATAATCACAGAAGTTTTGGCTGAAGGCTGCACTTGTACTCACTGACTGAATATTATTTTGGAAACACTGTCTTCAGTTACAACAGATATTTGAGGTAGACAACTTTATTGGTGAGATGTATTCACCTTGACATGTTTGGGCTGCCAGCTGTGTGCCATCTTCAGAAGTGTCACCACACTCTTGGAGCCTGTGTGTTCTGACAGTGTGGCACTGGCTCTTCATAACACACTCTATATTCACAGGCATGGACGGCAAGATGTCCCCACGAAGACGAGCCTACAGCACAAACCAGATTGTGGACTTTAACCCGGCCAAACGGGTCTATACCCCGAGTGACCCGAGCTCCGTGAGCACTAAGAACCCTCTGAGGAGGACCAAGGTGCAGGAGCTGGTGGGACACATGAGCCCAGAGCATGAGACACAGTGGAAGAACGACTACCAGGTAATGTCCACAGCAAACTGATGTCATCAACATCAACCTGGGGCTGTGATGCTCTGCTCTGTTAGAAGTTTTATTAGACTTAAAACTGAGCTTTATTTTAACACAATCTGACAAGAGCAGCACAAACACTTCACTCTTAAACCTCTATCAGGACGTCTGAACACATGTTTTATCCTGCAGTGTTTATGCTGAGATACTCCTGGGATTTATAAACGTGTCACTGCTAATATGAGGTCAATTTTCATCAAATAAAAACTGGTGCAGAGTTTGAGACACGAAGAACTGCTTTATGATCATCCAGCCTCTCCGCAGTAGCTAATAGGCCTTTATAATACGCTTAATAAATGTAGGTGCACTTTTTGATCAAAGGAGCAGTCTGTCCCCTTGCTGTGAGAGCACATGGGAACGGGGAAGATGTGAAGAGTTTAGATGCACGTTGCTGGAGAGGCACCAGTAATTATGTTATGATTTTATTGTACCATGTTTGTATCTGATCAGATCAGTCAAGATTGTCGCCAAAACTAAAATCGGTGTCCCACTGAACGCTGGCAACTGGTAGTGAGAGAAAAATCACAAACATTTTGGGCTCATTTAGAAATTCCTCACGGATGTTTTTTTGGGTCCTAAAAGGAGGACTGTCTGGAAAAAAGAGGACGTCTGGTCAGCTTAGTATCAATAGGTGTTTGAGGACTTTTTAGCATTCACAAGGTGTAACATGTAGTTTCAAAGATGAGGTAAACACCTTTTTTGGAAATGAGTTTTGTGTTTCCTTCCAAAGAATAGATTGTTAAAAAAAAAAAAAAAGCACTTTTGACAAAATGAGATGTCTGAAAATAGCTATTATGAATCCGGGCAAGCACCCAAAGATGAATGTATGTGGATATTGTCAGGATTGGGTTGTCACATGTCATAGAATTATCAGTTAGACTATGTTAAACTAATGGAGATTTTAAGACCTTGAAATTTGTGATGGGTATGTAGTTTTAATGACAGTACTTACTTGTTTTATAGAATTTTGATTATGGCTGGAAGATTTTATAACTGACTCAAAGTTTTTATCTTTTTTTTTTCCATCGCAAACCACCTTCTATCGTCCTCTTGTTGCAAAATGGACAAACACATTTTGAAACACAAAAATGGCTACTTTCTAAAGTAGGCCAGCAATTTATGTGTCCCCAATTCACCGAGCTTTCAATTCAGTCCAGTATTATTCACTTAAGCCCAGACAGACACAGCCAAATAGGCTATAATGGAGGAGACAGCAGGATCACTGTTTTTCTGATATCTTGGTAATTTCTAGATTGTCTTATAACAGAAAGTTAGCATTTTAGGGTGGATTAGTTAGTGCTGTGATTCGTGCTGTTTTAGTGCTGTGTTGTTTGCTCAAGGGGGACGGAAGTGATGACTCAGCCCTGTTACTAAACTTACTCTTTAAGTTTAGACTGTTATGTAAAATCAACTTTTAAGTGTTTTATCCATCTTATAATTATTTTTCCTTTTCATTTACCCCCCTCAGTGTGTTGTATTTAGAGTGATTCATGCATGTTTGAATAATCTTTATCCAACAGTACGTCCACTTTATTGTGCTTACTTTGTCCTGCAATTTAATGATCCACACTTTTCATAGCTTAGAATTATGCAGCAGACAAGCATCATATGTCTTTTGTGACATTTTTTTAAATTATGATCTGGGTTGCCGTGGTAAATATTTATCATCATTTCTAATCTTCATGGAGACGTTATTGTTTTGGCTAGATTAGAATATTCCAGTTTAGCCATTCCAGCTTGTCAAAGTCTGGTCCCGTCAGATCTCAGAAACTAAGCAAGGACGGGCCTGGTTGGTACTTGGATATGAAAATCAGGTGCCACAGGGGGGCGCCAGTCACAAAAACTATCGTTGTGTCCTTAGGCAAGGGACTTCAACCACATCGTCTAGTATGAAAGTGGTGTGTGTGTGAGTGATAGTGGTGGTGGTGGTCTGACCTTGCAGCATTCGGATTCGTTCACTTGACATTAGGTGGGTACTTTTTTTATTTAACCAATCGCTGCTATTTGGTCATGACAGATGTAATACGCCGCTAACGGGGCTAACTGGTATATTAAGCTTTTCCCAAATCCCATAGGAAGAAGGGCAATAACGTCTTTCCCCTCGATAAAATTCACCAAACATTCTCTTTGTTCAGGCTTCAAATCCTCGATCTCAGGAATTGTTGCCAACACAAAATGTCTGTCTTTGTCTACATCCATCCTGACCGCTTTGTTTACTGTTGTGCTGTACCATAAAATGGACCCAGACAGGCGCGACGAGTTTGACATCATGGCTTCACAGCTCTTCACTGATTGGCCGTTGCGCGATCTACAAATTCCCGGGTTCTTGCAAACCGTCTAGTGTATTCTGAATCCTGACCTAGTCACTGGAGAGAAATGAGCTGTGGCTATAGTAGTAGTTTACCACCACCGAGTGTGGAGTGAATGACTAATGCTCTGTAAAGCGTCTTTGGGTGTCCATAAAAGCGGTATATAAAACTGATGCATTGTTATTATTATTTTCCACTGTATAGCTTAAACCTCTCTATCATAAAGGAGCTGAGTATATGCTAGATTACAGGTCAGATCTGTGGAGAGGCAACCCTGTTCACAAAAAGAATGATTGTATTTTTGAGCAATAGAAACACCTGTAATGAATAAATGTTAGATAGATGTGTTTAAGGTCATACCATGTAACATTCCAGGTCAAGCAATAACATCTCCCTGGAGACAAACAGGTGACGGACTCCCCAGCAGAAACCTTTGCACAATGCACCTTAGAATGTCATTTTTGGGATAAAAGTTGAGAAGAAAGATGCAAAAATATAGGAGGTAGTTTTAAGCAGAATCCCTCTACCTACTGTATGTCACAGAGAAAATTCTATCTAAAATGCAGGGACAATTTACGCACAAGGAGGCCATTTTTTGACAGTTTAAATCTTCATCTTACAAAATGTCATAGCATATACTTTTGTTATTCTAAACCACAAACTAAAATACACTAAAACACTCCAAAAACTAGGCAAAATTTATAGGAAAATCTAAAATGGAATGGTGTTAAAGGTGTATTGCATAACTTTTTTAGTGGAGGTCTGTCAAATGCTTTTCTCCCTGGAGATGTTATTACTTCGTTTGGAATGTTTTACGGTATGATATTAAACCTTTTTTTCTATCTTCATGGAGACCAAACTGGACCAAGTTACAGGTCAGCTCTGTGGAGAGGTGACACTGCTCAGAGCCAGAATGCCTGTTTTTTTTATGTATTTTGAAGCTGTAATCACCTGTAATTGGAATTGAATGTAAGGTAGAGCTGTTTAATTACAATGAGCAATGACGTATCCATAGAAACAAGCAGGTGACGGACCCTGAACCAAAAAAGTTACATTACATACCGTATTTTCCGGACTATTGAGCGCACCTGAATATAAGTTAATATAAATTTTAACAAAACTTTAGAATTGTACATATATAGACCGTACCTGAATATAAGGTGCTGAAAAAGTGGGGGAAAACCTGTTCTAGATATAGTAGTTCGTTGGTCTTTTATTATTAAAATTGGATCAGGTTGTTTTTTCAATAAACATAATGGGTGTGATGTTGTTCTTAATTTTCATTTACGTTGTCTTAAAAAGGTCTTAAAAAGCACTCGGCTCCACTTTTTTCTCATTTTTGTCATTTTTGTTGATGAGGGTGTCACGGTCAACAGTCAAAACGATCGTCCTTTAAGAGCGTTTGGAAAGAGACAAGTCTTCAATTTGTGCTGCTCTGGTGGGAGGGGCCACGTACAGAGGCGCTGGAGAAGCTGCTATGATAAGCACCGCAGAAAATTACCAATATTTTTAATAGGAGATATAACTCAAATATTTTTAGTAGAAAATCAGCTGAGGGCCAGATTAAAGGTCTTGGAGGGCCAGATCCTGCCCCCGGGCCGTATGTTTGACACCCCTGCCATAGATCGTATATATGAATGGACAATGCGCCAGACAAAGAATCCCTCAATATCTTCGCCGCATCGTTTTATTAGCCGCAGGGTTAAGAGTGTAAGAAAAAAGTAGCGGCTTATAGTCCGGAAATTACGGTATACATTTCCAGGGGCACATCCTTAACTATGTTTTACTGGAAAAGTAACGTAACCTGTCATCTCCACTTTAATCATTTTCCAAACCATAATCCTTAGACTTCATCCACAAGGGAGATAACTCACACAGAAGCTCACATATGACAATATATTAACAAAGAATAAAAACATGTAGCTGAAATTCAAAGTGTGCAGCAAAAACAATATTCGGGTCAAATAAATTACACCGATTTTTATGTCTATGAGTAGTTTCCTAACCTCAGTCCTGACCTTGTTTCTAAACTCATTAATTGAAATAACCAATCGCAGTCATCCCTCTGGAGCATATATTATATTCAGCTCCAACCTCAGCGCTGCCCAACCTTTGTCTCAATCACAGCATTATAATAATAGCTTGTGAATATTGCTATGGGAGCACAACGGAAACCCAAGCCACAGCGCCGCAAAGAACCAAGCATCCGTCCCAGCGCCTAATTGACCTGTGGAATTAATGTGCGGTGAATCTAATTAACGAGGATCACCGGGCTCATAATAAACAGAACCAAAATATTAATAAGGAAACGCAGAATAGAGTAGAAGGACACCTCGTTCAGTTAATATTCATTAGTCATTAGTATTCGGCAAGTGGGTTTGAAAAGAAAAAGACCTTGGCTGCTTGATAAGTGGATTTATCAGACCTGCTCTCATTTTGTGGTGAATTGTGTTGAATTAAATAGAAACAAACAGTTAACTAGCTTTTTTTGGTTCAAGTTAAAAGCGCTGTATTTAGATTTTTTATTTTTTTTATTTTTTTTACAATACAGAACAGTTTGCTGTGGTCCAAAGTTCTTCTTCACTTTTCTTCTATAGGCCTAGGATCCTGATTATTCATCTCAATGAGTTTATGATGACTTTTCACAACTTTTATGCAAATTGTGTGCTTCCTGATACTGGATTAAATAAAAAAAAAAAAACAAACCGCGTTATTATTAGATGAAGAGAGCGTGCAGCAGACATATTTTGACCTCATCAGCTCCTTATACAATACACATGTACTGCGGACACATTTTTCTCAAATACATTGAAAAAAGAGATATTTATTTAACATTTTGTGCACTGTAAACTGCAATGTGAAACAGCTCAATAATAGCAACATGACTACAGTTGTCACTTGGCAATGTGACAACTGACAAGTGTTTAATTTTCATGTACCGTATTTCTCGGACTACAAGTCACACTTTTTTCATGGTTTGGGTGGTCCTGCGATTTATATATTAAAATGTTCACACTGACAGCCTCGAGAGGGCACTCTAGTCTTATGTGTCAGTATCTGCTCCTCCTATTACTCATTTACCACTGTCACTTCACTCTGCTGCGCATGTCTCGTGCAGAAAGAGCCGCTGTCCTGTCTGTATCATGTCAGTCGATTGCACCATTACTTCTGTACAACTGAACATTTTAAATTTAAAAAAACGTATAAAGACGACTCAGAAGACTGAACACAAATGCTGGGAGTGAGCGAGAAACTTGTGACAACTAGGAGGATGCACCATGCAACTTTCCTGGGAGTCACTGGATGGATCGACTAAGCCTGGACACAGAAACCATCCTGTCGGGATTCAGAAAGGCCGGAATAATTCTAACTGGAACTGATGCTGAGTCTGACGACAGCTACACAGAAGAGGAAGAGGCGCTCTGTTTACCTCTGGAGGTCGCCGAGTTGTTCAGAAGTGACACAGAATGAAGAATTGAATGGATTTAGTGATTTGGAGAGAGATGGAGCGTTTGTTAAACTTGTTCTGTTCTGTTGTTTATGCTATAGTTATCTGAAGAACTGTTCATATGTGACAGTCTGTTGTTCTCTGTTCTATTGTTTTTACTAGAACTTGACTTTCAAGATGAAATGTCGGTTCCTGGTCTCAGATTCTATAAAATAAATTTCCCTCAAAAAGTGTGATTTATAATCCAGTGTGACTTATATATGTTTTTTTCTTCTTCAATACGCATTTTTTGGCTGGTGCAACTTACTTACGTATTTTCCGGGCTATTAGGTGCTCTGGATTATAAGGTGCACTGTCATTAAATGGTCTATTTTCAAATTTTTTTCACAAATAAACTGCACGGGACTTTAAAGGAAACACAGCAGTTGGATGGCTCAGTCGGACTTTGTTTGTGGCGTTCACGGTGACTCTGGGCTTTGTTCAGTTGTGGCGTGTAGGGAGGGTGCTGTCTGGGACCAACGGATTGTCGGCGTGTTCGCAGTGACTCAGTTGTTCAGTTGTGTCTAGTCGTGGCACGTTGCACTCGCTTTTTCGGTTCGTTTTTTTTTTGTTCCATTTCTCATCCGCGTGGAGTGATGAGTGTGGCTGCGGGTGTTTGTTGCCGCACGGTCGCTGTCTGCTCCGTGTGTGTTTGTGTGTTCTGTGGTGGTGCAGCTTTGTAGTTTACTGAAGTCGTGCTGGGACACTCGAGTGGATTCGTGTATAGGGCGCTCTGGATTGCGGGTCATTTTTTGATGGAGTTGGAGGCTTCAGAGCGCTCCTAATAGCCCGGAAAATACGGTATAGTCCGAAAAATACGGTATGTGTGTTCTTATTGTTGAAAACATGGCTATGGGACATTCTTTAAACCAAAATTTATGACTTGGAGTTCAGATTTTTGGATAAGTAAGTGCAGGGGAGTGGGTGGAGATAGGAGGTAGATAAAACCAGACAGACATTTTCAGAACACTCAAGCCTCAAATGCAGGTCAGTGCAGGATTATTCAAACGAATATGAATCAATTGAAATACAACTTGAAGTAAAGTTATGAATATTGTTAGAACATACAGATAACCCTATGTCCTGTCAATCATTATTTCATCTTTGCACTGTTTTTCTTTATGACCTCATGTACATAGCTGAGATATTATTATTATTTCCATATTTAACTTTGACTTGTACATATACATTTATGTGTACTACTTATTTAGAATGTATTATTATTATTTATATTTTTACTCTTTGTTATTATATTATATTGTAATTTGTGAGCTACTGTGTCCCAATAATTTCACTTGTGGATCAATAAAGTTTGTCTGAAGCCCTATTTGCACAGGATTAGTATTACCTGTGGACCTTTGGTGATTTGTAATAATTGCAGAGAACGCCTGAGATCTTAATCCTGTGCAAATGCTCCATGTCGGTAATTTGTAAAGTAAAAATTCTGGCACAAATTGCCTACTATATTTCACCAAACACAGACATCCGGTGATAATACTAATGTGCGAATCTGCATGTCAGTGTTGTTGTTGTAATTGCTTGCCTTTGCTATCTCTTTCTTTTCTTTTCGTGTTCTTTTCTCTTTCAATTTCTGTGTCAGTGTCAGTGAAATAGAGTCAATTACGGACTTTGCTTATCCCGTGTGAATGCACTGCAAGTAACACAGAGGTGGGGTGGTAATTTGCAAATTACCAGATGTCCCCAGGTTGTACTTATCCCGTGTGAATAGGTCTTAAGTCTAAGTCTGGTCAAAAGCTCATAAAAGTCGATTTTGCATAACATGTCCCCTTAAACCTTTTTATGCTGAAGAGTTATTTTAACTCAAATGCATGATTACAAAGCTGAATGTGTTTGTGAACCCTTTGAAGCACAAACAAATGACTGAACTCTGTGTGAAGTTGAAGCTCCGTTTTGGCCTCTGCTGTCTGATCTACTCATTAAACGTGGGGACCAGCTCTGCACAGAGGAACATCAGATTTCAAATCCCACCTAGATTGTTTTGTGGTAAATATAAGGAGAGATAAAGCTGCTGTCTGGGGCAATGCTCTGATAGACAATTTCATTTTCAAAGCTGAAGGCTGAAGCCCAAAAGCACCAAAAATTAGATTTTCGGATTTGTTATAATGTAAAATAGCCTTGTGGTTTTAGAATAGAAAGTGATCGTGATTCACCCCCAGAATGGTACATTTGACTGAAAATTGATACTTTGCACTAACATCACACTGTTTATTGTTTTGTTTTGTTTTGATTTAAGTTTGCTGAAATCTCAATAAAAATACAAAATTGATTTAAACAACAAACACATTTTTTCAGAAGCTTGTGACAAATTTGAGTATTTATGGTTCTGTTTAAATGATTTATTTTCAACAAAAAAGGTGAGAAATACATTTGACTAGACTGTGACTATAATGTTATTTGAGAGAGATTTGTTGAACAGTAAAAATCAGCTCACCTGTTATACGAAGTCAGTTCTTTCTGGTCAGATTGTGTTGAAATAAAACTCAGATAAAAGTCTAACAAAGTCTCAGACACAGCATGCCTACAGCTAGCATCACACCCCCAGGGATGTTAATGACATCAGCTCCCTCTGTTTGACATGCCCAGGAGCTTCACAGTTGGTTAACAAAAAAGAATAAATTAAGAAAAATCACCAGCTTTTCCAAATTCTAAAAATTCTCTCATCTTCCTCGTACAGCCGCAGTTGGCGAGCCTGTGTGCGTCGGCTTCCAGAGGGCACGCGGCCAGCTGTCACCTGCCCAGCACTCATCAGGGGCCCGAGGCGAACGGCAGCCCCACAGAGGAGCCTCCAGACCCGGCCACCACAGCTCAGCCGCCCCCCTGTACCTCCGGAGCCGAGGAGGGGTCCCGATCATCCACTGACAGCCCATCTGTTGGAAGCGTGGGAGAAACAGGTCTGAAAACAGCAGTATTTAGAGCAATAATCACAAACAACACTGCAAAAACATCTACATAAGGCGTGCAAGGTTAGTCTAAATTGAAATTACAATTTGTACTGTCACAACACACAACACATCAAAAAGGCTGCAAGTCTCCTCATAATGTTTACTATCTGCAAACAACAAAATCCTGCATCAGTGAGGATTATATTTTGTATGAGACCTAAAACTAATATGTTTAAAGGTACACTGTGTAACTTTACTAGAATGTTCCATATTAAAGCTTTAAACTTATGTATCGTCTTGTAGGTGATGCCACCAAGTTCTAGGTCATATCTCTATAGATTCCCCATCCACACTAGTACGTTTTCGAGTTGTTGTGGATGCAGTGTTCGTTCACACTAATCTAATAAAACTAATGGAAAACGGCTCCAGAGACGGAACGATCTGGTGCCGGCAGCTCCCACAAATTCATCTGAGTACAGATCTGATCCGGCACTGTGTGGACATCTGAAAATGCTGCTGTAGGTCTATGCACCGCGAAGTAATTGACTGCCAAAATGCTAAGAGGCTAGAATATATGTCCATTCACATACAGTCCCTGACAAAAGTCTTGTCACTTATCCATTTTGTAAAAACAAAAGCTTATAACCTGACTTTAAATTAATCGATTGGTTTTAGAAATGTCTCATATGAAAGCTAAAACCCTCCCAAATTATGCTCAATATACTAAAATAAATTTGCTTCACTGAAAAAAGATTGATCATTTAATGAACACAGAAAGGTCAGATTTTGGCAAGACAAAAGTTTTGTTGCCTACAGAAAATTGAACAAATAATTTACTTCAAATACAAAAATATGTTACATAACATCAGTGAATGAAGTAGTGGTGCTGTGAGATCCATATTTAATATCTTGTATGACTCCATGAGCTTGAAGGACACATCCATGCGGTTCAACAATGATTCATACAATTTGTTGATGAAGTCATCAGGAATAGCAAAGAAAGCGTCTTACAGCCTCCCAGAGTTCATCAAGATTCTTTGGTTTTGCCTCCATGCTTCCTCTTTCATTCTACCCCAGACTTGCTCAATGATGTTCATGTCTGGTGACTGGGCTGGCCAGTCCTGGAGCACCTTGATCTTCTTCACCTTGAGAAACTTTGATGTAGAGATAGAAGTATGCGATGGAGCACCATCCTGCTGCAAAATTTGACCCCTTTTATGGTTGGGAATGTAAGAGGAGCTAATACTTCTTGATATTTTTAGGTTATTGATATTTGCCTTCCACCCTGCAAATGTCTCACACACCCCATACTGAATGTAACACCAGACCAGGATTTTTCCGCCACCAAAAACTGTTTTCTGGGTGAATCTTGGATCCATGTGGGCTCCAGTAGGTCTCCTGCAATATTTGCGGCGGCTGTGATGTAATTCAACCGAGGATTCATCTGAGAAATCCACCTTCTGCCACTTTTCCAGTGTCCATCCTTTTAGCAGGCTGTGGGCCTTGGCAAATGCCACACGGTTTTTTAATTGCCTTTTGTTTAGTGCTGGTTTCTGTGCACTGATTCGACCAATGGAGGCCATTTCGAGACAGAATTCTACAAACTGTTGTGGTTGACACAGGGACTTGAGGTGACCAGGCCTGGTGGAGTCTGCTGCAGTGGAAAAGGGGCCTTGGATTTTTGAATCAACAAACGGTCCTCCTGAGCAGTTGTCTTGCGGCGTCTGCTGGACCTGGGCTTGTCAAAAACATCTCCAGTCATTTCAGATCTTTTTCTTATTCTTTGTACTTGATGCTGAGACACATTGAAGGTGTCACCACCTCAGCAGTGGATCTGGTCTTCAGCCTCTTGATAATTAACTCTTTGGTCTCAGGGTGGATCTTAGGCATGTTGTCAGAGGTCAAGTTGCAGTTGATGTGAAGGTCTGGTGTGCTGGGTTCTTTTTATACACACACACTAACTGATTGATCAGTAACTGATCACAGGTGAGGCTGTAATCTAGGATTGGGTGCATCATATGACAAGGCCACAAGACTTTTGTCTTGCCAAAATCTGACCTTTCTGTGTTCATTAAATGATCAATCTTTTCTTCAGTGAAGCAAATTTATTTTAGTATATTGAGCATAATTTGGGAGGGTTTTAGCTTTCATATGAGACATTTCTAAAACCAATCGATTAATTTAAAGTCAGATTACAAGATTTTGTTTCTACAAAATGGATAAGCGACAAGACTTTTGTCAGGGACTGTAAACGGTCTGTGTGTACGACCTGCAGTGCTGTGCAAGTTCACACTTTTCATGAATTAGTTCAAAGTTCAGTTCACACTTGTTCAAAGTGAATAGTTCACGTTCATAGTTCACAATTTAAATTTTGAACTAGTTCCAAGTTCAGTTCATTTTATATTTAGATGAGATCTGTAAATGAAAGGCTGCATTTATTTTTCAAACTGACTTCTAGTTTACAACAACTTTACAAAATACACTGTTGGACAAGTGACTTTAAAACTGTAATGTGTTATTTATGACTTGTTACTGTCATTTCAAAGTCATTTGTTACATTACAATATTACTGCATTTAAAATGTAAAACATTATATGACTATTGCAGCACTTTTAATTTACTCTCACCAAAAAGAACTGTTAAGATGCTGAACTTTTGCGCCGTATATGGACTGAACCAGGACTAAACCAGGACTAAAACAGAACTGAACCAGGTCCAAACCAGGTCTAAACCAGGACTAAACCAGGACTAAACCAGGTCTAAACCAGGACTAAACCAGGACTAAACCAGGACTAAACCAGGACTGAACCAGGACTGAACCAGGTCTAAACCAGGACTGAACCAGGACTGAACCAGGACTGAACCAGGTCTAAACCAGGAATAAACCAAGACTAAACCAGGACTGAACCAGAATTGAACCAGGTCTAAACCAGGAATAAACCAAGACTAAACCAGGACTGAACCAGAATTGAACCAGGTCTAAACCAGGATTGAACCAGGACTGAACCAGGACTAAACCAGAACTGAACCAGGACTAAACCAGGTCTAAACCAAAACTGAAACAGGACTAAACCAAGACTAAACCAGGACCAAACCAGGACTAATCCTGGTTTGGTCCTGAACTTTGAATCCTGAACTTGGAATCTAGGACCGCCCCTGAGAGAACCCCGAGTGCGATCGGGCGTCAGCTGCGTTTATCTCGGTGGAGCGTGGACTTCTGCGTCGGTCCTTTCGCTCAGGATCACGGTCTACGCGGGGCGCACCTCCGGCGTTTCACCCGCTGCTGATATCGCGGTGATTTTAGCAAATTTGTATGAAGAAAAACGAAAAAACCCACCATTTCAATCCAGGTTAAAAAAGCATTGTGACGCGCGTTACTGACATACGTACCAAGTAAAATAATACGCGCGCGGAGCAGCACGTCCTGTGCGTGTAGATTTCAGAAAATAGGATCCATCCTATTTTTTGACGCTCTACACGAGCGTAGGCGCGTATCCCCATCAAAATCCACAGAGAGCATGTATCTGTTGTTGTATTTGTGCATTTACCATCAGCACATTGTGCTCCCTGGGCAGTTGTGGATCATGTGAAAGAGCCCAGATCCACACACACTGTTAATTAGTGCTTTGAAATTTACTTTTGAAATCCTTGCGTTTGCCGTGGTCAGCCTGTACAGAAGGTAAATACAAGCAGCTAAACGCGCCCAGTCAAGTTTTGATTGACTTCCCATTGAGAGACACAAGAGCCCGTACGTTCCACTAAAGCTGCCGGTGGAGTCGCCTTCACGTTGACACGCGACTGTGGTTTCGTGAGGTGAAGTGCGAGCAGATCGTCACTCGTCAGGTGAAAACAAATTCCGACGTTTAACTGAACCCCAACAGTGACGTACGTCGTTCATCACACATAATTTGAACAAATTCACGTTCAAGTTCTTGATTTACAAAAGTGTTGCGTTCAGTTCAAAGTTCACTGAAAAATGAACGTGTTCAATGAACGCGTTCTTTTGAACTCGTTCATGCACAACACTGACGACCTGCACACGTATAATCTTTGAAAAGTTTAACATGAACCTTCTCCAACGCGATAGAAGCACAGAACAGACTCACCATCAGCAGAACACCCCTCTGTCACAGGAAGAACACTCATATTCCACTGACTCATGTCATTTAGCGGCAGTAGCTCAGTTGGTAGAGCATTCGCCCACTGATCTGAAGGTTGGAGGTTCGATTCCAGTTCTCGACATAAACATCACAGGTTGAGTGGTCAGATCCACTGACCCACAGGTTGACTGATGTGATTCCAGCTCCCACAGATGAATGCTGTCGTTGTGTCCTTGGGCAAGACAGTTAACCCACCTTGCCCACAGTGTCTGCGTACACTGGTGTGTGAATGGGTGAGTGGTTGTGGTTCCTTGTTGTAAAGCGCTTTGAGTGCCTTGAAGGTGGAAAAGTGCTATAGAAAAATGTGACCATTTACCTTTTAGTCCAATAGAAGCTGAACCACAATAGCTGTTTTTTGAGAGCTCAGTTTATGCAAATGAGCCATGTGGTTTTAAGTTTCTTTTCTGTAAAACGTAAAACAAATATGTGCAAAGCTGTGTGGATAGGGAAGGTTTGTGGACACAGAAACGACATGTCTGGATGCAGATCGTTTCTGATATGGTGATACAGTGATTTGTTTCAGTGTAAATGTAGCCAGAGTTGAAAAAAAAATAAATAGTAAACAAATAAATGCAAGACATATTTAAAGAAAACATTGTGCTTGAGCCTGGTATACTTACAATCTATGACACATTGAACATTATATCTATAATATTCATTTAAAATAAACAAAACAAGTCTGCTGACTTCCATGTTAGAAAACTGTAGTGTCCAATGGGAACTGACGTCACTGTAAATCGCATCGCAACAAAGAGTTGTGAGAGTCTTGGGGTTTTTTTGGGTTTTTTTTTTTTAACCAAAACAACAACGCAGTGCTGCAGAATCTTATGTGCATCACTGATTAAGAAAATAAAGTTGGAGAATGACGTGCGTACAGAGCAGTGGGCGTATGTTTGGGAACGTGGGAGTTGATCTGCAGTATAGTGTCTTGAAAATAAGTGATTAAAAATTGCACGAATGACTCCAAATACAACTTACACAGAGGGTAAATGAGAAGGGGTAACGACTATAAGAGGTTAAAAGCTCTTAAAAGCTGATTTTGCATAATAGATCTGCTTTTTCCAAATCTGCTCTGTTTTGCATGTAGGGATGTAATTTATTGCAATATTGTTCAAAGCCTCTTAAACTCCCCGACAAGGCTTTAATGCTATCATTACTGTCACATTACGACGCATGAAGATTTAAAAGGGCTGAATCACAGTCATCTCTGTACATTCTGCACTATAATGGAGCAAAGGACTATGGTCTATAGGCACTTTTCTCTGCTTTTGAAAATGCATACATGCCTGCAATTTGTATGCTTGCAATCCAAGATATTCTTTCCTTCCAAGTTACTACATAAGTTAAAGTAGCACTATAAAACCTTTTCTGGTGGAGGACTGCCCATTTGCATATCTCCATGGATATACAGTAGTTTCTTTGCGTGGAATGTTCCAAAGTGTGGCATTAAAACTTTTTCTTGTTTTTATTTTAATACAAAAATAAAATACGAAAGACTAAAAAAAAAAAAAGCGTACTTGCTGTAATCTGGGTTGCCTCTTCACAGATCTGACCTGTAGCTCGGGCTGGTTAGTGCTATTTGCTTGTGTCCATGGAGATTGAGATCACTTTAAAGCCACACTGTGAAACCTTCCAGATGAAACAATTATCAAACCCTCCACTAGAAAAGTTACATAGTGCTCCTTTGTTTATTTGACTTGCGAATTCCTGATATTAATGCTTATTCCATTTGTATTACATGGTTTGGATTTATTCAGTTGTTCGATACGTGCGAAGAAAAACACGAGCAGATTTTCATTTAGAGCAAGAATCAAAACCACTGCTGTACGGTTGAAACATATTGGACAGATTTCATTAGTGTTTATTTTTCAGTGGAAAAGTCAACACCTTGTACAGTCTGTGTGGATGTCTTGAGCTCAGAGTACCAGATGCCGAATTATAAAAGCAGTTATTTCTGTTTGTGTAACCAACAGGTGCTGTAACAGATGATAAGATTTTCAATAAAACATCAAAATGGCAGGTGTTTTTTATGGGGAAAGAAACCGAGCTTTTTGTGACTTCTCTCCTGGTGGGCGCATTTAACGTGACACTTCAGACAGTCTCCAGTAATAGTCTAAAAAAGGGTTGGTTTTAACAGGAAGGGCATCTGCTGTATGTGCTTTGGTATGGTGGCCTCTGATCAAAAAGGCATGAAAATAAAACTCAAAAACACTATATAACGTTTCTGGTGGCGCTGTTGCTTATTTCCATTGAGATGTTATTGCTAGGGGTGTCAAATTATCACGTTATATTTAGCGCGTTATGTTTTTTAATCACGTTCATTTCATTTTTAATTTCTAACTTTACTGTTTCTGTACGCGAGTTGCTTTATTATAAAATCAGTTTTTATATGTTGCTGGGACAACAACACATTGCTCCCGGAAAGAATTGTAATTTTCATTCCCGTTCCCGCCCGCATTTGCGATAAACCTGCACACGTATAATCTCTGAAAACATCACGACACAGAACGGACTCACCTTCAGCATCATCATCCCTCTGTCACAGGAAGAACACATATTCCACTGAGTCGTGTCCTTTAGTCCGACAGAAGCTGAACCGCATCAGCACACAAGAGCATTTATTTTTTCTTTTCTCGGCTTAGTTTGTGCAAATTAGCCAAGTGGTTTTAAGTTTCATTTCTGTGAGACTTGCGCAAAGCTGCATTAAACACGTTATAATGTCAAACCCGTTGTGGCCATACCAGCTTGTCACAGCCTGATCCCGTCAGATCTCAGAAGCTAAACAGGCTGGGTAGTACTTGGATGGGAGACCGCTAGGAATTCCAGGTGCCACAGTGGGGTGCCAGTGGCAAAAAACTGTTGTTGTGTCCTTAGGCAAGACACTTCACCCACATTGCCTAGTATGAAAGTGGTGTGTGTGTGTGAGTGATGGTGGTGGTCGGAGGGACCGATGGTGCAGATTTGCAGCTTCGCTTCCCCCGGTCTGCCCCAGGGCAGCTGTGGCTACAATAGTAGTTTACCACTAGTGAGTGTGGAGTGACTGAATAATGAACTGTAAAGTGCTTTGGGCATCTTGAAAGGCGCTGTATAAATGCAATCAATCAATGAAACGGGCTGATGTGGCTCTAGAGTGGTGATGGTTTATACGTTGTAAAGTTGAGTTTATTTATGCAGATTAGTAATAGTAATAATAATGATGATAGTGTGGAATGTAAATGACTGCATTTGTTAAAGTTTGTTAAACAGCAAATGACTTTATAAAGTCACTTTTTTTGTTCTATATCAGTCTTTTGATCTGCCACAATAATGTAATAATGAATTTAAATGAAAATACCTCAAGCTTATGGCTTTTCTCAGCAATTTTTAGGTGAGATTAAAAAAGAGATGAATTAATTACAGATCATAAATAATTAATCTCTCAATTTATTTATTTATATATTTTTTTTATCTCTTGACAGCACTAGCTATTGCGTTGCCTTGAATGTTCCACTGTAAAGCATTAAGTATATCTATACCAACTATACAGGCAAAATAAAGCAGCTAAAAATATTAGTATCAAGTATCAGTATTGTTCAAAGTTTGATACCAATGGTGGAATGTAACAAAGTACAAAAGTAAAAGTTCAATACTTAAGCACAATGTTTATGTATCTGTACTTTTCTTAAGTTCAATTTACATTGGATACTTCTGCATATATCTGCACTTTCTACTTCACTACATTTTAGATCTGGACTGAAAAGTAAAAAGTATTTTTCTTTATGGTTTGAGAGCTGCTGAATTGACTGAGACTTATTTTTAGAACATTTCATTTGAGTTAACATTCCAACTTGTACACAACAAGTAAGAAATCGATTGAATCCCTTAAATCAGCTTCATTCTTTATCAAAATCACTACATTTGATGCTTTAATTGTTCTAAAAATCTCTGCAAAAAATTTACTTTTTACTTTTAAACTACATTATTAAACAGGCACTTTAATATTTTGACTTAAGTACATTTTTTCATGTGATACTTTTACTTGAGTAATATTTTGCCCCTGTATCTGCACATTTACTGAAGTAACAAAATGAGTTATTCAGACATTACGACACAGGGCCCAAGTGGTTCCTACAAGCACAGAGGGAAAGGAGAAAGAAGAACAACATGTGCAGAAAGCCCCTCTGTTTGTGAAAATCCTAAATTGGCTTTCAGTAGAACAAAGAGAGATAAAAACAAACAGGACAGCAGAGAATCAGAGCCCAGGAGAAAGGATGTAACTATTCCTTACATGGTTGTGTTTCTACTAAACACACACTAAAAACTACTAAGGATTTTCAGACAACATAAAATCCCAGTTTATTTCAAACCTACAAACATTTAAGACAGAAACAGGTCCACCCAAAGTACAAAACACTGAGCCACGAACAAAGCAATGTGGTCTACTCCATTCAGTCTAGTGAAGACTGCAGTGAACGTTACATTCGAGGAACAAAACAGTCACTTCACAAGAAGATGTATCAACACAGATTAGAGAGCAATAGTGGACCTCAGTCTGCTGTACACCTCCATCTAAAAGTCACAGGGCTCTCCTTTGAGGATAGTGAGGTACAAATCTTAGCCAGAGAAAAGAAATGCTTTGAGAGGGGAGTTAAAGAAGCTATTTTTGTTAAGAAAGAGAATCCATCTTTGAACTGAAGTGGAGGCCTCATCTGTCTCCCATTTACAACTCCTTCCTCAGACATAAATCAAAACAAAGAAAACAATAGGTGTAGCCAGATCAGGTCCTGAGATGTGAAAGCTCCCATCAGGGCCCCAAATGATTATGCTAATATGACTCCACACTCAATGCTGTTGAATAGGCCTCGCTAGCCAACAGAAACTGTAAACAAGTGTGTGTGTTAGTTTCACAGTAGTTTCAGTGTAGTTAGATCCTCCCTGCAGATAAGTCAGTGTCCACCAGCGTCTGACCAGAACTGAAGAAGCAGCTTGGATGAAACGTGCCATAACAAAATTAAGTACTTTATCCACCACAGGTCGATACCAGTACTGGAAATGATATATCGCCCATCCCTTGTGCTCTCTGCAGCAAATACACTTGTAATGTTCTGTTAGCATGCTTGATGTTTTTACCATTACCATGCCAGACAACCTCAGCTCTGGTCTCTGATTATAAATTAATTGCAGTGAATAATTATGATGCTAGGAATAGTTGAGAAACGTGAGGACTTAATTTGGGCTGCTGCAAACAGTTTTAAATGAACTAGTTGTGTTTTTCACATCTTTAAAGGTCCTAAATTACACAAAACTGACTCTTTTAGCCATATTGTAAGTTGTGTTTTGTTTCATTCACATGTTTGAGTAACTCTTTTATTAGTCTATCTACATCTCCAAAGCTCAAAATGCTCTGTTCTACCTTGTGATTTCAAGAAATGATAGTTTTGAAGGTAACAGCTACATTTTACCTTCAGTGCAGATTGACAATTCCAGAGCTGAAATGATCAAATTGATTCTAGTGAAGGTGTATGGAGTTTAAAAACACAGTGGGGCACCTGTATTACCACCTGACATCACAAGGTGGAACAGAGTGTTAAGTGTCTGAGAGAAGAACTCAGCCTAAATATGCAGGGTTTGTGTGTTAAACATCTCAACAACTCCAGGTCTGTTTTGATGAAGAAGCATTGTTAGATAGATCAGAAAATAGAGTAATATAGGCACTCTAAGAACACTGTCCTCCATGTTTTTCCAGATGTCTACAGTCACCAGCTCTGCCAGGCTGAGACCCCCCAGGAGGTCCCCCCCTTGGCCCTGTCCCAGAGTCCCAAAGCGGACTGTAAGGCGGTGGTCTCCGGGCTTCTGTGTGGGACCCCGGTCAAGTGGGAGGTGGAGTTTGACATTGAGCCTTACCTGAACGGACGTGAGCGTGAGGAGAAGGTCCACGAGGAGCTGTGGAACGAGAACTTCCACTACCTCGCAGGACGCTCCATCATCAACGACTTTGAGCACATGGCCGACAAAGAGTGTGAGATTGAGCATGGTATGTATGGACTTTTTTTGTTTTGTTTTTGTGATATACTATTACACGTGTAGATCATGGTTTTAATTTATTTTGTTCATTGTTAACTGCAATATTAATTTAAAACAGGGGTGGGCAAACTTTTTGGCTCATGGGCCACAAACCAGGAGCAGATGGATGGAGTGTTTTGGTAATCCTCCTCATAAGAGAAAAAACAACAACATGTAGATATGTAGAAAACCTGTGCTTAAATTTCAATTGAAAATCATTACAAAGCATCACAACAAAATATCTGTCGGATACAAGAAACGGTAGGCGATGCAGATCTACTCGTCCTGCTCCTTCTGTTCAGTGTGCGTCCCCAGAGCCAAAACTCAACAACGACCAGCGCCAGGACAGAACAGTGACAGCGTGTCAGTATGCGAGCGTGTTATATTTGATCTGATGCATTGTTTATGATGAGAACGTTCATGCACGTGCACACCACTCACGTGTACACCTTAACAGAAATGGCATGTAACATGTAAATGCATTTTTACATAACAGCAGAGAAACTTACTTTTGATTTCAGTGGAACAGTGTTGTTGGTGTCTCTTTTATCCAGTGCATCAAAGTCTGAAGTTAGTTTTGCTGTGGCGATTTTCAGGATGCATTCATGTGGTGTCAGAATGATCGGAAAAATGACTTTCCCACTGGGAAAATTCACATGAATGACCCCTCATGTCAGAAAAACAACTCCAACCACATAAATGCAGCATAATGCGCCGCACCTCAACAAAGGTCAATGTATGTGCCTCTATTGAGAAACACCGGAATTGCAGGAAAAATAAAACATTAACAAGGTTTATTATTATAATTTATTCAAGTTTGGCAGGCCGGATTAAAAGGCTTAAAGGGCCGGATATGGCCCCCTGGCCGTAGTTTGCCCACCCCTGATTTAAAACAACTTGAAACTAATTGAATAGGTTCAGTGAAGCCATGTTCAAAACTACAGAACTGGACATGCCATACCTTATTTTAAAGGTAAATCAGTCAAGTTTGTTTTATAATTCCTTACATTCACCTTTGAATTAAATATGGCATTGGCATCTTTAACAAAAGCTCATCTGCTAATTAATTGCAACTGGAAGTCAGACATGACCTGGAGTCACATTTTTTCAAAGAATCACAAGTAAAGGGCTGTGGGCGGGGAAAGAGGGTAGATGGAAACAGAACTGTTTTATGCACTCAAGCCCCATATTCAGGGCAGTACAAGAATACTCAAAGATTCATGAATCAACCTAATGATGCTTATTATACGCCAGAGTTGTTAAAATATGTCTCCTTTAACAAGTAATAATAGTAATAATAAAATAAACCGTGTGCATTTATAGTGTACTTCACATTCCTGACTGGCCTCTCAGAGCTCTACTGGAGCCTATTATATTTCTCCGCACACTCTTTGCTGCTGGTACTTCTACATGCTGGTTCACATCTGTTGTCACACAATATCAGTGGTTTTTGAAAAGGGAAAAGTAAAATGTCTACTCTGTTATTTCAGGTTCCATATTTATTAAACCACTATGCACCTTCCATTTATGAAATACACTTATTTAATCATGAAAAAAGAGAATACGCCAAGTGCATCATACACATACTATATTCTAAAACAGTTGCTTTGTTTTGCCCCCATTCACTTCACCATTTCACATCGCTAGGCTGATGTCATGTGAAACCCAGACTACTTCATTGTGTCTTATTAGATAACACACAACCTAATCATCACAATGGGAATGTGGAAAATATGTGCTATATGATCTAACACAGAAAAATGAAATCCATCACAGTTATCAAATCACAAAGGATGCAGTTACTTAGGTAATATAATGTCTTCAGCTAAAAATCTTTTTTGTGCCTGCATTGGGTTTTATTATGTTTAAAAACATGCTAAAACTGCATCTTAGACTAGGGGTGGGAAATATCTCGATATTTTAAATATATCAAGATATTTTTTAAACTGGATATGGATTCTGACATACTGTATACATCGATATAATGCTTATATTCAATTCTGATTTCGCTGCTCCGCTTGTTTGCCTTCTCTGTTGTTGCCTCCGTGCGTCCCCGCCTCCCTGATTTTGCTGCTGGTGTCTCATTCACTCCTCACTATTGCCGTGAATGCTCAAAGTTGGTGCCAGTGAAAAGCTTCTGGCACCACGAACGTGTTCCACCATTTACAGACAAGGCCATCAGCAGCACATCCTCTGTCACAGAGAGAACACTCATATTCCACGGAGTCGTGACGTTTAGTCCGAAAGAATCTGAACAGCATGAGTAGCACAAGGAGTGCGCTGTTTATGTAAATTAGCCATGTGCTTTAAAGTTTTGTTTCTGTTAAACATAAACATGTGCGCAAAACTGCATTAAACACATTATAATGTCAAACGGGCTGATGTGGCTCTAGAGTCGTTACGCTTTATATATTGTAAAATTTAGTAATGTAAAGTTTATTTATGTAGAAGATTTTAATCAGTAATTTGCTGCAGTGTCACTTGTACAATAGTGTTTGGAAACGTTGGGTTTGATCTGCAGTGGATTGTGGGAAACCTCAGAGCTCCTTACTGCTGGTGAGGAACATGGATCTGTTAAAATAAGGAACCTCCTGAGCTTCTTCTGCTAAATGAGCTCATGGTTCTGGTTCTGGTCTGGACAACAGAGTTAATGCAAAGATGAGCTTGAGTTGACTTGTTTTATTTATGAATGAAAAGAAGGAAATACGTATTATTTATTTTGTTTACAGTTAAATGATCATTTATGTAATTAGGGATTTTGTAATCTTAAATGTGGCAGAAGCACTTTGTTAATATGAGTTGCCGACCTCTTGCACTTCAACAAAAAAAGACCCTGTGTAATTTGGCATATTTGTTTTTGCAGTTTTAGGTTTTGGGGGTTATTTTTTCCTATACAGATATTGAGATATATATTGTATATCGAGAAATAGCAAAATATATCAAAATGCATGTGATTCTTGTATTAGTTTAGCAGTTCATATTACAGTCTTAAATGTTAATGCTCTTGTGTGTTTTTAAAGATACACTATGTAACTTTTCTGAATAGGGATTTGTCACCTACTTGTCTTGATGGAGATGTTATTGCTTCACCTCAAATATTCCATAGTATGGCATTCAGGTTCTATGTCTTTTATTCATTTAATGACATCTGTTTTTACTACGCAGAAGATCTCTGAAAACATCCATTCATACGTCCATTCTCCACAGATCTGGCCTGTAACTCCTGATAGTGTCAAATGCTTTTCTCAATGGAAATACCTAAAAGTTCAAAGCCATACTGTAGAACACAGGTGTCAAACATACGGCCCGGGGGCCAGATCCGGCCCTTCAAGACCTTTAATCTGGCCCTCGGCTGGTTTTCCACTAAAATATTTTAATTATATTTCTTATTAAAATATTGGTAATTTCCTGTGTTGTTTAGCACAGCAGCGTCTCCAGCGTCTCTGTGCGTGGCCCCTCCCACCAGAGCAGCACAAATGAAGACTTGTCTCTTTCCAAATGCTCTTAAAGGACGATCGTTGTGACTGTTGACCGTGACACCCTCATCAGAAAAATGTCCAACATGAGAAAAGTGGATGCAGAGTGCAGGATTTTCCAAGAAAAATTAACTTATTCCTATTTACAGACAAGTTCATGTTAAAACTTTGTGTTGAAGTTGTATTTTTCTTAAAGTTTCAGGTTGTTTATAATATTATAATATTTAGTAAAAAAAAAAAGAGTTCATCAATTAAAAAAAGATTTCTGTAATAGATATGTGTTACTCTGCACAAATATTTGAACTTATTGTTATTTTTGGGGTTTATATGCCATGAGTTTTCTGATCCAGCTCCTTTGGGATCAAAGTAGGTTGGATACGACCCCCGGACCAAAATGAGTTTGACACTCCTGCTGTAGAACATTCCAAGCAAAGCAATATAACATCTCCATAGACACAGGCAGGTAGACGCTCCACCAGAAATGTCAAATATTGAGTCTTTAAAATATGAACTGTGCTGAATCTTGCAAAATAAAAATATTTGTTGCACTTATAATGAATGCATATCTTTGTGAATTTTATTTTGCAGGTTCTGGGAGGAGATACCAGTCCTACGCGGTCCACTCCAGTAAATCCTGTAATATTCTGAGTAAATTCACTGCATTTGTCCCCATCGATCTGGACACTAATGAGTATTTGCCAACATGTATTGAACACATCAGCCACGGTAAGTCCCATAGATCCCATGTGAAGAAGTCAGCACAGCACTCATCTACGTATGTCCTCTTATCTCAAGCTTGTTTACTCAATGCAAATATGGCTGCTTAAAGTCAAAGTCAATAAACAGAAGAGTCCATAGTTTAAAACTGAGATGGAGGCTAAGGCTGACCATTGAATGATGAATTGACTGAACTGAATGAACTGAACTGATGAAAAATTCAGACCGTTGCTGTAGAGATTAACAATTAAAAACTAATATCTTTTGAACGGAAGTAAGTCCTCAAAAGTCCTAAATGTTACAAGAGCAAGCTAAAATCCATGAATAGTACAATTTTATCTGGCAAAAAAAAAAAAAAGATGCAATATATAGTTTTTCTGGTGGAGAGCACGCTGCCTGCTTGTCCCTGTCCCTGGAGATTTTACTGCTTGCCTCAAATGTTTCACCATATGTATCCAGTTTGTGTTTGTATTTGTTTTTGTCACCTCTCCACAGATCTGACCTATAACTTGGTGTAGTAGCATTACCTGGTCATCTCCATGGACAGCGTAATGCCACTTAAATCATGATCAGGGCTCATAGACTGTATAAAAGAAGTGGACTAAGCAAGTGTGACGTTGCCCATAGTGTTCAGCGCCGCTCAAACGAGGCTCACGATGCGCTGGGTTACAGGAGCGATTCTGGAGCCAGACTCTATGTTATGAATAGGATTTCAGGATCTTGTAGAGCAGGTTAACGCAAACATTTTAAGACCAAAATGACGAGGCTCACAGCAGCAGTTACAGAGAGAGGAGCGACAAAATCCCAATGTAAATTAATTGAGTCAGAAGGAGCCAGAAGAGCCTCTTGGCAAACTTCCTATTTGGCACGGCGGCTACAGCGTAAGCTATGTCCATTCATATATACAGTCTATGCCAGGGCTTCTCTAGGATCAGCCCAGAACTAAACCAGGACTTAAGAAGACTAAACTAAACCAAGACTTAACAAGAGCTGAACCATAACTAAGCAAAGACTAAAGGCCACCATACACTACAGGATTTTTCAGTTTTAAATGATTTTTAAACGTGTGACAAAAAGCGCACCCCACAGACACGAGGAGAATCTTATGAGATTTTAAATCTCTGATCTCAAAAACTTCAGCGGGATATGACTGCGGACCACAGGCTGCACAGTTGTGAGTGCACCTTGCGTCAACTAGAGTAAAACCACTCGCTTAAGTGTTCAAAAGATCAGAGCACTGCACTTCTAGTTTAGATGTAAGTCAAAATGATGTTACTATTATTTGTGAAATGTGGTGCAATTCTTCAGATACATGATGATACAGATTTTTAATGCATAGAAGGCTTGAGATAAAGTACACAGGAAGAAGACTCACTTGCTAATCTGCAGCTTCAACCCAAACTGCTCGCTGTGTGGATGTAGACAGACACACGTGAGGAACTACTCTCACCTTTTTACTTTTAAAAGATGCGTTAGACTGGATATACAGCGCTGTTTTGTGGACTGGGTGTCATTATTTGTGGAGGAGAAATTCTATGGATAATGTGGATGAGATGCTGCAGTTTAAATTTACAACTTTTCGAGTGGTGAGTAACAATTATTTTCCCTGCTTAGCAAATTTTGATGTTGTTCCTCTGTGTCTGTCACTCCATCTGTTCCTGACGCTCTGTTTTGGCTGTTGCCGCGATTTACTGGTTACAATCTGACAGTGCAGCTCAGAGGCACACTGATGACACCACAGACGAGGGGCGCAGCGGCTTCCAAATCACAGACGAAGACACAAAGTCAGGTCACGTCTCTCCGAAGTTAGAGGAAAACAAATCACAGCCAAAATCTGGCAAATTCTCCTGTAGTGTGTGGCAGCCTTAAATCCGAGCTCTGTTAGGCCTAAACCATGATAGTGTTATCATGATAGTGTTCTTTTACTTTGTGTATGACGCTTAAAGCAGATATTTAAATCACATCCTACTTTTCCAGGTGAAGTTCTGAAGAGAAGTTCTCGCTCGAGTTCTCGTTCTGGGAGCAGGAAGAACCGAGCCTACTCCATCGGACTGGGACGCTCTCAGTCTGGAGGCACGTGTGAGGACGGAGAGGACGGACCACAATTCAATGGTAATGCAAAGGTTTTTATTTAGATTCAGTCTCAGTTAATCTTGTCTATCTCGTGAACAATAGCCTTCCAACTACTACTACTACCACTCTTACTACTAGTACTACTTTATCTGGCCAGCCAAGACTACATGCTTTTCTAATACTTTACAAAGATGTATACTCTGGAAACAGATTTTCCAATGGACCAGAATGATGAAAGTTAGGACTGTAGCCACAGAAATGATCAATTCAAAACTAAATATATCCTTTAAATGGTTAACTGTCTTCAAAATGGTACCGTATAACAAGACGCTGAAAACATAAATACAGCCAAATTGAGAATAGCATGGTCTGTATCAAAGCAAACGTGGCGGTTTAGGCATAGTCCGTTTTCTTTTTGAAGTATAGTATGTAAGAATTTTCAGAGGCCTGGTTACATGAGAACGCTTGCAGGTAAAAACAACAAATATTTTATCGGAAGACGGTTTAGACCACAGGTGTCAAACATGCGGCCCGGGGGCCAGATCCGGCCCTCCAAGACCTTTAATCTGGCCCTCGGCTGATTTTCTACTAAAATATTTTTAATTCTATTTTTTATTAAAATTTGTTAATTTTCTGTGGTGTTTATCACAGCAGCGTCTCCAGTGTCTCTGTACGTGGCCCCTCCACCAGAGCAGCACAAATGAAGACTTGTCTCTTTCCAAACGCTCTTAAAGACGATCGTTTTGACTGTTGACGTGACACCTCATCAGAAAAATGTCAACATGAGAAAAGTGGAGCCGAGTGCAGGATTTTCTTAAAGTTTCAGGTTGTTCATAATATTATAATATTTTGTAAAACAAAGAGTTCATCAATTAAAAAAGATTTGTGTTTCTCTGCACAAATATTTGAACTTATTGTTTTGTTGTGGGGTTTATATGACATGAGTTTTCTGATCCGGCCCCTTTGGGATCAAAGTCGGTTGGATACGGCCCCCAGACCAAAATGAGTTTGACACCCCTGCTCTAACACATTCAGAACATTTAAAACCATCTGAAACGATCCAGATCTGTGTCACTAATGTTCTGCTTCTATGTAAATATCAGTGTTGTGTCTTATTGTGCTGTTTCTACCATATTTGTCTTTTGAATTGTCATTGACAGTTTGTCTATTGCGTGACGTTGTCTTATGTTCTATCTCTTTGACCTGCCAAGGACTAGACATGTAAAGTATTGTATTTTCCGGGCTATTAGACGCGCTCTTAAGCCTCCAACCCCATCAAAAAACGACAATCCAGAGCGCCCTATACACGAATCCACTCGGGTGTCCCAGCACGACGTCAGTAAACTACAAAGCCGAACCAAACACCCACACTCATCACTCCACGCCGACGAGGAACGGAACGGAGGAACGAACTGAAAAAAGCGAGCGCGACGTGCCGCTTCTAGACGCGACTGAACAACTGAGTCACTGCGAACACGCCGACAATCCGTTGGTCCCAGACAGCACCCTCCTACACGCCACAACTGAACAAAGCCAGAGTCACCGTGAACGAACAAACAAACAAAAACCACTCACCCATCACACTGTTGTGTTTCGTTTAAAGTCCAGTTCGGTTCAAAAAAAGTTCAAAAATAGACCATTCAATGACAGTGAGCCTTATAATCCAATGTGCCAATAGTGCGGAAAATACGGTAGACTTTGCGCTAATTCTGGCGTATTTACAAGTCTGTGTTCATGAATATGCACTGTCTCTTTTAAATAAATAAAACTAAATAAATACAACTAAAACAAAGTCATTCTTTGAGCTCCTGATGTGACGCACAATGTTTCTGAGACTGTAAAGGTTTTAGAGAACGTGTGAAGAATCCCTCAGTCGTCCAGGCAGAATCCATGAAGAGGAGAAAATTTCAGTTTGTCGACTGGACAGTAAGTTAGTTTGTTTGAAGACGTTTCGCAGTTCATCCAAGCTGCTTCTTCAGTTCTGGTCAGACGCTGGTGGACACTTCTTTATATCTGTCTGCAGGGAGGAGCTGACTACACTGAAACATAGGCTGCGTTCAGACTGCAGCCTGAAGTGACCCAAATCCGATTTTTTGGCCTCTATGTTCCTGTATGTGACGGAGCAGGCTCGTCCCTAAGAACGCCGTCCTGGGGGAGAGCACGTGAAGATGCGCGCGCCCGTTTCCGTAGTTATTGCGCACCGCTCGCCGTACCAGTTCCTACCAAAATCACTGTTTTACAATAAAATTCTCCCAACATCTCCTGCGTGTCTTTCCGCGACTAAGGGTGCACACTTGGAAGCGCTTATTCAATTCATCTAAAGCACGCCAATCCAGACATTCACTTACCCTCGCGCCGCCGCCTTCGCCCTCCTTCCGTGGTGTGTACTGGCAAACCCGGACACATCCGCGCTGGGAGTTTAAATCCGGTCGTTGCGTGGGTTCCGGGAATCAGGTGGGCAACAACTAATTTGCATGGGCAATTAAATGTATTGTCTGTCTCTCAGACGTTGTATTTAAGACCTGTTCATTCTGGGCGCAAGCTATTACAGGTATATAACCATCGTGCTATAGAACATAGGCCGTTTGATTGTAGAAACGGCGAAATCATGATTATTGGGGGAATTATGTAATGTGGGAGGGGCAAACCGGGAATATAAAGGTGCGCTCTCCAGCTCTGTGAGCAGTTGCGACCAGGTTGCAGTGGAGGTAACTTGTGTGGAGTGAGCCAGAGGAACCGAGAGAGTGAGAGAGAGAGAAACTTTGCCGGACTTAAAGGGGAAGTCCACCAAAAACTTTTGTCATTTTTGTTTTTCACACCACCACTGTAAATATTTTTCCACTCACGTTTGGCACCTTTTGCACTGTTGGAGAGCACAATAAATCACCGAAAAGCATTTCCTGCCTAAGCCTGAGTTTTTTGGAAGAACCCCACCACACTGTATCTGATCTTTTAATGTCAGTCTGAATGACACAGATCCAATTTTTTCAAATGTGACCCAGGACACTTGGATATGTGCTCCTGAAACTGATACACGTCTGATCTTTTGACATGTGACTTCAGTCTGAACAGTCAAAGCGCATTCATCCACCTACACGTTATCAACAAGACACAAACGTCACTATTCTGCGCTGAAGTAGGAGAAAATTGTTAATGAACTCCGTGTCACTGAAGTGAAGCACATCACCACTCACCACTCTTGGCTCCGTCTGCACATAAACATACATACATGCACATACACACAAACATGTGGCCACACCGGTTTGTTAAAGTCTGATCCCGTCAGATTTCAGAAGCTCAGCAGGATCGGGCCTGGTCGGGACTTGGATGGAAGACCACTGGGAATTCCGGGTGCCACAGGAGGGTGTCAGTCACAAAAAATGTCATTGTGTCCTTCGGCAAGACACTTCACCCACATTGCCTAGTATGAAAGTGGTGTGTGCGTGAGTGGTGATGGTGGATGAAGGCCGGTGGTGCAGATTGGCAGCCTCTCTTCCGTCAGTTCTCCCCAGGGCAGCTGTGGCTACAGTAGTAGTTTACCACCACTGAGAGTTGAGTGAATGAATAATGAACTGTAAAGTGCTTTGGGTGTCTTGAAAGGCGCTGTATAAATGAAATGATTAATTAAAACACACACACAAATACACACACATACACACACGCAGATATGAGTGTCAAGCCACGGGTCAAATGAGAGAAGGAAATAAACAGAACTCTGAATCGTGTGAAGAGGAGGAGGACGACGAGGAGGAGAAAGAGGAGGAGGAGAGGGAAGAGAACGACAATGAGGAAAGGGAGGAGGTGAATAAAGAAGAGGAGGAGAGGGAGGAAGAAGAGGAGGAGAGGGAGGAGGTGAATGAAGAAGAGGAGGAGAGGGAGGAGGAGGTGAATGAAGAAGAGGAGGAGGTGAATGAAGAAGAGGAGGAGAGGAAGAAGAGAGGTGAATGAGAGAGAGAGAGGAGAGAGGAGAGAGGAGAGGGAGGAGAAGAAGAGGAGGAGAGAGAGGTGAATGAAGAAAGAGGAGGAGAGAGGAGGTGAATGAAGAGAGAGGAAGGAGAGGGAGGGAGGAGAGGAGAAGAAGAGGAGGAGGAGAGTGAGGAGGTGAATGAAGAGGAGGAAGAGGAGGTGAATGAAGGAAGAGGAGGAGAGGGAGGAGGTGAACGAAGAGGAGGAGGTGAATGAAGAAGAGGAGGAGAGGAAGAAGGAGGTGAATGAAGAAGAGAGGAGAGGAGGAGGTGAGGATGAAGAAGAGAGGAGAGAGGAGAGAGGAGAGGAGGTGAAGAAGAGAGGAGGAGGTGAATGAAGAAGAGGAGGAGAGGAAGAAGGAGGTGAATGAAGAAGAAGAGGAGAGGGAGGAGGTGAATGAAGAAAAGGAGGAGGTGAATGAAGAAGAGGAGGAGAGCGAGGAGGTGAATGAAGAAGAGGAGGAGAGGAAGAAGGAGGTGAATGGAGAAGAGGAGGAGTGCGAGGAGGAGGTTGAGGAAAAGAAGGATGACAAGAAGGAGAGGGAGGGAAAAGGAGGAAGAGGAGGAGGAAGAGGAACAGGAGAATGAGGGGGAGGAGGAGGAGTTTGGAAAATGTTCAAATTCAAGTCTTGTACTAAATAGAGTTGTCAAAAAATGAAATAATAAAATAAAAAAAAAAAATAAAATCAATACTCTGACAGAAAGTGCATGAAATACTAAAACCTGTGGAAGATCTGCACCGGGAAAATTTACATAGAAAATCCTGCACCTCTGACCAACACTGTTATACTCTGGAACACAAGTGAAGTGTCTTGCCTAAGGACACAACAACAGTTTTTGTTATTTTGCCCCTGGTGTCCTTCCCCCCGGTGGCTCCTGATTTTCCCCAGTGGTCTCCCATCCAAGTTCTGACCAGACCTGGATCCTGCTGAGCTCCTGGAAAATGTGACGAGATTCAGACTTTGACAAAGAGATTCAGTCACTGCGAGGAGTTTTGAGTCGTATTTTTTCACGTGTACTTTTTACTTCAGTAGCCGACAGTTTTGGCAACAGTTTATGTCTGAGATTTTTGAA